GATGCAAAATGCTTATTATGTGTTATTTTACTCGTCAAGCACAAAAAAAATACTATTTATCGCGGTTTCACCATGTTCTAATATAAGTGAAAACTCGGGGAAACATTTTATTCTCCAGGGAAGACGGGTAAGGGAAACTGACAAGATAAACAAACTCTTGATGCTGCCAAAACAATAAAAAAGCAATGAGCCCATTAACACAGGGATATTGAAACTTTGCAACAGCTACCCGTAAATGGGAAAGTATTGTTTTTATTGGTTGAATACCGAAAGCTGTCATGACATAGTTTCCTATTGGAAGCCGTGAGAGGAAAATTAATAGGCTCATCCCGCTGTCAATATTGTTTCCGTTTATGGCGCACGTTTTTCGTTTCCAAACCACTGAGGTAAGCTGGTAGCGATAATGCCGAGAATGGACGTTTGTCTCCATCTTTGTGCCTTTGGTCTGTCGCTGTTTTTATTTCCAGTTGCCTTTGGTTGCATTGATGGTAAGCATTTTACATCATATTCAAATTTAGTTTACAACATCCTTTAGTTAAGTTAACGTACCTTGAAGGCACACGATGGTCGGATCCTAGGGCTTTTCCTCCCGCAACTTCCTAAATTCAATTTTTGGTTCACAGATTAGTATTTTATATTCCAAATGAAGCAAGACATTAAAAAATCTTAATTAGAGAAAAATTTTCTTTAAATTTTTACCATTGTAAAGGTATTTTCTTTCCTGAATTTTTGTTCGAATGCCAAATTTGGACATTATTTATGATGTTACAACAGAAGTCACATGTGATGAAAGAAAAACGAATAAACAGGTAATTTATCAAACTACTTCCTTGCCAAGTTTCTTCACATTCGATGCATTCTACTTCTGTCTATTGCCTAAAACTCTCAGTTTTGAGAGGTATTTGGAAGGAAAAGCCCTAGCAACCGACCACCGTGGCAGCTCAATTAAACATCCAAAAGTGGAATTAACAACTCAAATATATATTAGTAATAGTTGACACTACAGCTGCCCCCGCTCTGTATAATGTACGTCTGTCAATAGCATTCAAGCTCGTTGTGTAGCTGTTTGAAATATACCGATTCATAATGAAGATTTTCACACATATTCCATACAATAGGTGAGATAAATACAGGAAACGCACAGGTTCCATGCACAGTTCAGGTCGATTTACACGCAAGGGCACCCAACGTGAATATAGTTCTAAACCACTTAAACATAGCATTGTTTAACGTCTTTTAATATTTAAACGGTAGATATAGGCATATTTTTATCTCCTAAAATTTTTCATCTCTTCGGATTTCCTAGCTGAAAGTCTGGTGATCCGAAAATTATAGGGATCAAAACTTACCTTTTCAAAAATTTCAGCCACAAAAAATGTTTTCGAAAATTCTAGGTGACTTTTTTTGGGGAAAAAATACGTTAAAAATAGGCAATTATACCATTTTTTAGATGTTCGAAAATCCTAGGAGAGGCAGGCAAGCAAGAAATTTTACAACAAATGTCCCGAAAATTATAGATCGCAAATCATCTTCCGAACAGATATTTTCTGAAAATTGACGTTGGGTGCCCCTGTTACACAGCTTTGATCAAGTTGAATTTGAATTTCAGGTTGAATTTTTCGCTATTTATCTTTCACTTTTTATATTCAGTTCATTTTATTTGCCGGAAAGTAAGCCTTAGTAATTAAAGGGACGCGCGTTTGAGCGATTCACGCTCGCGCATTCTAGTCTTATTTTAAACTTTATAGCAGAAGGACATCTGTTAGCAGGGAATAAGTCAGCACAGAATTTGATTGTCGGCGAATTTCTGTAATCGTCCATCGTTCTGCCATGGTTCTGCTAGTGATAAGCTAGCCGTTGTTCACTCGTCTTGCTTGTTTGAGACTGAGTCTTATTCCGGTCAAAGAGAGAGAAAAAGTGTCTGGCAAGGTTTCCAATCAAAGATTTGTGAACTCTTTTCTGACAAACTCTCCAAGTGTTTATATATACAAACTTACAGGCACCTTATAACTTTATCTGCGCTTAACGAGTGTCTTTTGGTCCATAACTTTCAAAAGAACTGCTCAACAGAATGTCACTGATGACACGTAACGCAAAAGAGTATCGAAGTATGACTGCACAATTAATGTCACAAAATCTACGTTAGCGGTCCCTTCTGGATTTTCTCTCTTTACTTCCTAACCATTTCGTACTTGCGGGCCCAAACAATAGAAACGTCATTATTGCCTCTCCCGATTCCTCGCGGCCCCTGTTCAAGCAAATCGAGATTTTTCCTGGCATACTGACTGTATATTTCAACTGTAAGCACTTTCTTTAATATACGCTCGAATTACTAGTCTAAGAGTGCCTCCTCGGGATTTCGCCTTCTGGGCGAAATCCCTGCGGGGGAATTAAATATTCTTGAAGAAGTGGAATAAATTTCTGACACTTTGTGTTCCACTACTCCAAAATTTGTACTAGAAACAAAAATAAATATTTATACATAAAAACCGGAAAAGAAAAAAAAACCTAACGATACTTCGATTCAAGCTGCAAGCTGTGAAACGCTCAAGCTCAAAATGAGATTGACGGGGTAAACATTTAAGGTTAACAAAGAGCGACTTTTTAATTCCGTTTTTATCCTTTTTTGTTTTTATTGCCAAAAGTACAGTGAGTGTTTTTATGTTTAATTCAATTTTTTTGTTAAACGTTTGACGAATTTTGTCTAATTCAACCAACCGGTATAGCCATGCAAAATTCTCGTATATTTTTTAATAGTATATGTTGTGTAAAGAATTGCATATAAGTGCTTAAAATATTGAATTTCTCAGCTGGTATTTTTCCATATATCTTTATTCTAAGCCTGTTAGCTCTGAGTTCAAAATATTTTACACAAATACACTGTCTGTTCACGCCGCCAAGAAAAACTAATAACGTCGCAACATTTATTAAGTCTTTGAAGCAAAATAATTCGGAGGGCTTTACTACCAAATGGTTTTTCGATGATTCTAAGTTCGCATACAAGACTAATAAATTTTGCGCAAAATGCCCTAGGCCTGCATAACTTTGGACAAAAAAAACGAACTTCAACATCTGAAAAAAATATCAGGCTTTGTTATGTCGGGTATTCAAATTTTTTATGAAGTAAAACAGTTTAGTTCACTGTTTTGGGGATAACTTTTGCTCATGCAATCGAATTGATTGAGTTCAAACTCATGATTTTTCGCAAACTCCTGGCTTTTTACGGCGCAAGGAAAAACTTATACCCGGCATAGTAAATCGAACGTTCGAAAATCGAAGTCAATCGAACTCAATCGAACTCAATCCGTGGATTGAGTTCGATTGAGTTCGGCAATCGAACTCAATCGAACACCACACTTTCAGTGAGTTCGATTTCCGAACAAATCGAATTCAATCGAACAAATTGAACTCAATCGAACTCAATCCGTCTGATTGTGTTCGATTGAGTTCGGAAACCGAACTCAATCGAACACAGTTAAATGGATTTCGTTCGATTGGCTCTGGTGAATCTATACAAAGCGAGCCCAAAGCAAGCCCGTCAAAGCAAGTTTTTCTTGCGCTTTTTTTACTATTTATTCAATAACACAAACCCCGTTTATAAACTGTCCACGGCAGTTAAGAGAACAGAACAGAACAAACCCTGAAAACTTCGCCATCCTTGACGTCAAAGCGGCATTCCTGGTAGCCTTTGACTATACATTTGAAGCTTACGATCCACAACGCATCTGAAGCCATTTCTGAGGAATTTCTTCGTTTACGAAAAACACGTGCGCTACACTCAGGGCTGAAGTAACTCGAGCTTCTAAGATCTGGTAATGGATTTTCAACGTCTGTTTTACATAAATCACGAGTTCGAAAATCAAACGTTCGATTGGGTTCGATTGATTTTTTTTCTTTTCGGTGAGTTCGATTTCGTTCGATTGCCGAACTCAATCGAACTCAATCCACCGATTGAGTTCGATTGAGTTCGATTGAGTTCGATTGAAATTTAGTTCGATTGGGTTCGATTTACTATGCCGGGCTTATAACGCCAGCGAAATCACTGTGTCTTTCAAGACAAATAATTCGGAAGGCTTTATCGGTGCATCATAAATCATTTTTTTTTCTGAGAAGCAGACTTCCTAAGCTTTAAAAATGGACCAAATAGAAATCTGTACGTTGAATATTCGCGGACTTATGGTTTTTCGAGGATGAGAGGCTTAGGCCGGTTCAGGAATTCACAGCAGGCATTTGCCCAAGGAGTTAAAATCCCGCGGCCATTTGTCTTCCTTGCGGTTAGGCATATGGCAATCTGCGGTGAAAGATACCTTATTCTCCTTTATTTTCGCGGGACATAAATTTCGCGAAAATTTTCTCGGCACATTTCGCGAGTCTTTAATTTCGCGATCGCGGAGAAAAATTGTGTTTGCATGGAATTTAATTTCGCGAAATTGACGATTAAGTGACTTTATTTTTTCCTTTTTACAAAAAAATTGTACGTTAATCAACAATTGAAACAAAACCAATATGCTGTCCCTTAGCGGCAGCCGCATTCCTCTAAAAGTCAGTCTTACAGTAATGAAAATAGTCTTCTTGTTCTTCCGAGTCATTATCGAGAATCGAGAGTATCGTTACATGTCCTTCCTAGGAGATCTCAATATAACCTTCAATCTCTTCAAATGGATCCTCAGGGGGAAGACTAAACGATTCATCTAACAGTTGTGCGATGCCAGTCTTTTCCCACCCTTTAGCGATGTGACAATTTTTAAAATTTTTAAAACCAAACTAGTGAGCAGCACTCTGCGAACTGTTGCTGTAAAACTTGTTTATTCTCCTACGCGTTTCGTCTAACTATCGTAGACTTCTTCAGGAAGTTTTACAATCAAGTACTAAACGCCTGTATTTAAGCCATAATATGACTAAAAATAACAATTAGCCCTTGAGCTGTTAATATGCGTGGCATGACTGTGAACGTTTTAATTTTCTGCGCAAGTTATTAGCAGCAACTTCCAAGTTGCAGCAGAGAAGGAAAACAGGGGAACATGTATGTTCCCCTTCAAGTTGGCGTTTTCTTCCTACTGCTGTTTTTCTTAAAGGTTGCCTCCTTCGCCTGCATTGATGGTATGTGTTCGAATTTCGTTTTACAAGTTTTTTTCTTTCTTTTTCCGTGGGTGGGGAAGAGTTTTAATTCGTTTTAGTGTAGCCGCATCACGAGTTCCCCGTCGAGAAGATGTTCTTCAGCGGAACTATGAAAATTTTGCGAGTCTACTTGAAAAGTTAAGAAATAAATATTTGGACTTGCAATATCTGGACATCTTCCATTCAAATGCTACGTACGTGAAGGGTTTGCAAGAAAGGTATCAAAAATTGCAAAAAAAAAACATTTCAAAGTAGAGAGGGTCATTCACTAAAATGCTGTCATATTATATTGCATTCATTGTTCGAGCCAAAAATGTGTATCCTTGAAGGAATTCTAAGCGTTGCGTAGAAACCCCTGCCCCAGGCGCATGCGAGAACTGTAACAGGAGCTTTATCAACAAGCCCATATCAAATTTCTGTCCATTCACTGTTAAATACAGTATGTTGAAAGAGCTAAAGGGTTAAATTGTAACTAAAGAACGCACTGCGATTCTCAGAAGCTGTTCGTTTATCTCTCGTCCGCATTTTGAGAAAATTTTTAGTGACGGTCAGTCACTGTGGTTACGAAATATGACGTCATAAGTAGCAGGGGGTCAAGTCATTTTTGAGTAAAAATGAATGTCTTTGCTACTCCTTTCAACGATAAAAGTAAAACTTGTGGTTGAAACGATGCAAAATGCTTATTATGTGTTATTTTACTCGTCAAGCACAAAAAAATACCATTTATCGCGGTTTCACCATGTTCTAATATAAGTGAAAACTCGGGGAAACATTTTATTCTGTAGGGAAGACGGGTAAGGGAAACTGACAAGATAAACAAACTCTTGATGCTGCCAAAACAATAAAAAAGCAATGAGCCCATTAACACAGGGATATTGAAACTTTGCAACAGCTACCCGTAAATGGGAAAGTATTGTTTTTATTGGTTGAATACCGAAAGCTGTCATGACATAGTTTTCTATTGGAAGCCGTGAGAGGAAAATTAATAGGCTCATCCCGCTCTCAATATTGTTTCCGTTTATGGCGCACGTTTTTCGTTTCCAAACCACTGAGGTAAGCTGGTAGCGATAATGCCGTGAATGGATGTTTGTCTCCATCTTTGTGCCTTTGGTCTGTCGCTGTTTTTTATTTCCAGTTGCCTTTGGTTGCATTGATGGTAAGCATTTTACATCATATTCAAATTTAGTTTAACAACCTCCTTTAGTTAAGTTAACGTGCCTTGAAGGCACACGATGGTCGGTTCCTAGGGCTTTTCCTCCCGCAACTTCCTAAATTCAATTTTTGGTTCACAGATGAGTATTTTATATTCCAAATGAAGCAAGACATTAAAAAATCTTAATTAGAGTAAAATTTTCTTTAAATTTTTACCATTGTAAAGGTATTTTCTTTCCTCAATTTTTGTTCGAATGCCAAATTTGGACATTATTTATGATGTTACAACAGAAGTCACATGTGATGAAAGAAAAACGAATAAACAGGTAATTTATCAAACTACTTCCCTGCCAAGTTTCTTCACATTCGATGGATTCTACTTCTGTCTATTGCCTAAAACTCTCAGTTTTGAGAGGTATTTGGACGGAAAAGCCCTAGCAACCGACCACCGTGGCAACTCAATTCAACATCCAAAAGTGGAATTAACAACTCAAATATATATTAGTAATAGTTGACACTACAGCTGCCCCCGCTCTGTATATTGTACGTCGATCAATAGCATTCAAGCTCGTTGTGTAGCTGTTTGAAATATACCGATTCGTAATGAAGATTTTCACACATATTCCATACAATAGGTGAGATAAATACAGGAAATGCACAGGTTCCATGCACAGTTCAGGTCGATTTACACGCAAGGGCACCCAACGTGAATATAGTTCTAAACCACTTAAACATAGCATTGTTTAACGTCTTTTAATATTTAAACGGTAGATATAGGCATATTTTTATCTCCTAAAATTTTTCATCTCTTCGGATTTCCTAGCTGAAAGTCTGGTGATTCGAAAATTATAGGGATTAAAACTTACCTTTTCAAAAATTTCAGCCAGAAAAAAGGTTTCCGAAAATTCTAGGTGACTTTTTTGGGGGAAAAAATACGTTAAAAATAGGCAATTATACCATTTTTTAGATGTTCGAAAATCCTAGGAGAGGCAGGCAAGCAAGAAATTTTACAACAAATGTTCCGAAAATTATAGATCGCAAATCGTCTTCCGAACAGATATTTTCTGAAAATTGACGTTGGGTGCCCCTGTTACACAGCTTTGATCAAGTTGAATTTGAATTTCAGGTTGAATTTTTCGCTATTCATCTTTCACTTTTTACATTCAGTTCATTTTATTTGCCGGAAAGTAAGCCCTAGTAATTAAAGGGACGCGCGTTTGAGCAATTCACGCTCGCGCATTCTAGTCTTATTTTAAACTTTATAGCAGAAGGACATCTGTTAGCAGGGAATAAGTCAGCACAGAATTTGATTGTCGGCGAATTTCTGTAATCGTCCATCGTTCTGCCATGGTTCTGCTAGTGATAAGCTAGCCGTTGTTCACTCGTCTTGCTTGTTTGAGGCTGAGTATTATTCCGGTCAAAGAGAGAGAAAGAGTGCCTGGCAAGGTTTCCAATCAAAGATTTGTGAACTCTTTTCTGACAAACTCTCCAAGTGTTTATATATACACACTTATAGGCACCTTATAACTTTATCTGCGCTTAACGAGTGTCTTTTGGTCCATAACTTTCAAAAGAACTGCTCAACAGAATGTCACTGATGACACGTAACGCAAAAGAGTATCGAAGTATGACTGCACAATTAATGTCACAAAATCTACGTTAGCGGTCCCTTCTGGATTTTCTCTCTTTACTTCCTAATCATTTCGTACTTGCGGGCCCAAACAATAGAAACGTCATCATTACCTACCGATTCCTCGCGGCCCCTGTTCAAGCAAATCGAGATTTTTTCTGGCATACTGACTGTATATTTCAACTGTAAGTACTTTCCTTCATGTACGCTCGAATTACTAGTCTAAGAGTGCCTCCTCGGGATTTCGCCTTCTGGGCGAAATTCCTGCGGGGGAATTAAATATTCTTGAGGAAGTGGAATAAATTTCTGACACTTTGTGTTCCACTACTCCAAAATTTGTAGTAGAAACAAAAAATAAATATTTATACATAAAAACCGGAAAAGAAAAAAAAACCTAACGATACTTCGATTCAAGCTGCAAGCTGTGAAACGCTCGAGCTCAAAATGAGATTGACGGGGTAAACATTTAAGGTTAACACAGAGCGACTTTTTAATTCCGTTTTTGTCCTTTTTTGTTTTTATTGTCAAAAGTACAGTGAGTGTTTTTATGTTTAATTCAATTTTTTTGTTAAATGTTTGACGAATTTTGTCTAATTCAACCAACCGGTATAGCCATGCAAAATTCTCGTATATTTTTTAATAGTATATGTTGTGTAAAGAATTGCATATAAGTGCTTAAAATATTGAATTTCTCAGCTGGTATTTTTCCATACATCTTTATTCTAAGCCTGTTAGCTCTGAGTTCAAAATATTTTACACAAATACACTGTCTGTTCATGATCACGCCGCCAAGAAAAACTAATAACGTCGCAACATTTATTGTGTCTTTGAAGCAAAATAATTCGGAGGGCTTTACTACCAAATGGTTTTTCGATGATTCTAAGTTCGCATACAAGACTAATAAATTTTGCGCAAAATGCCCTAGGCCTGCATAACTTTGGACAAAAAAACGAACTTCAATATCTGAAAAAAATATCAGGCTTTGTTATGTCGGGTATTCAAATTTTTTATGAAGTAAAACAGTTTAGTTCACTGTTTTGGGGGTAACTTTTGCTCATGCCATCGAATTGATTGAGTTCAAACTCATGATTTTTCGCAAACTCCTGGCTTTTTACGGCGCAAGGAAAAATTTATAACGCCAGCGAAATCACTGTGTCTTTCAAGACAAATAATTCGGGAGGCTTTATCGGTGCATCATAAATCTTTTTTTTTTTTTTCTGAGAAGTAGACTTCCTAAGCTTTAAAAATGGACCAAATAGAAATCTGTACGTTGAATATTCGCGGACTTATGGTTTTTCGAGGATGAGAGGCTTAGGCCGGTTCAGGAATTCACAGCAGGCATTTGCCCAAGGAGTTAAAATCCCGCGGCCATTTGTCTTCCTTGCGGTTAGGCATATGGCAATCTGCGGTAAAAGATAGTTAATTACGTATCCGGTCACACGCAATTTGATGTTGCGTCTGCTATTTCCAATTTTTAAAAATCAGGGGCACCCAATGGATCTGTTCCTCAAAATATCTGTTCTTCATGCAAATTTTTGCTGGCTGGGAGATGTGGAAGAAATAATAGTCCTTGGAAGGAAAGTGTTGCTGGGAAAAAGATAATTCAGGGTGTCAGAGGGGATTTGAAGTCTAGAATAGCTGCTACGGGTTACTTGTATGGGTTGCTTACCACTCAAGATCTGAATTGTGCCCTATGAAACTTCCCAGTAAGTCAGGTTGCAGGTTGTAAGGTTGCTGGCTGGGAACTCTTCCATCAGTCTTGCTGGGAGTGAGGGACAGATAATTTTTTTCCAGCAATCTCCTGAAAATGCTTAAAATAGTCTCAGAAAACTTTATTCACGCTTTGTTGTTGTATTTAGGTCTTTTTCTCAAAATTTCCCGTTGGGTGCCCCTGAAAAATATTCTCTCTAAAAGTGTTTCTCCGTTTGGAACAGTTAAAACAGAATCAGAGAACATTTAGATCTGTTGACTGTGACTTTATAAAAAGTGACAGAACAAAGAACACAAGAAAGATGCTGCGTTACTTATTGGGGTTTATTTATTACAGCAATACCATATTCGGAAATATTACCGGGAAAAATGAAGTAATCTCGCTCTACTGCGCGCTCAAATGCCATGGCGCTCAAGACGAATTTTTTCTCGTTTAATTTTCGCTTGTGCAAATGCTGGCTACCTTGTGATCTTCACTGAAACAGGTAAATAATTACTATCACGGCCGCAAGGTGAATAATTACAAATCTTTACATAAAGAAAACGTTTTCTGCTAGAAATGCGAGCGGACTGTTATTTCAAAGACGTGGCGCTATTAAGATGCTAATCGAGCTTGATCTTCGCTGAAGCTTATTAGAAGTGGTTATGAGGACCAGCTCAGTCGCTAATGAAACTGTTAAACATTACGGGGTTACTATCACTTCAGCTGAGGGGCTTCGAACAGGACATTCATTCACTCCTAGAAATGTTAAGCTTTGTGTGTTATAAACCCGATACATGTATTAAATACAGGGGCACCCAACGGCAATTTTCGGGAAATTATCTGTTCGGAAGACGATTTGAGATCTAGAATTTTCGGAGCATTTGTTGTAAAATTTCTTGCTTGCCTGCCTCTCCTAGGATTTTCGAACATCTAAAAAATGGTATAATTACCCATTTTTAACGGATTTTGACCCTAAAAGAGGCCACCTAGAATTTTCGGGAGCCTATTCCTGGCTGAAATTTTCGAGAAGGTAAGTTTTTATCCCTATAATTTTCGGATCACTAGACTTTCAGCTAGGAAATCCGAACAGATGAAAAGTTTTTAGGGGATAAAAATATGCCTATATCTACCGTTTGAATACTAAAATACGTTCAACAATGCTATGTTAAGTGGTTTTGAACTACATCCTCGTTGGGTGCCCCTGTATTAAATATAAGCAGGCTGACAAAAAATCTGGATTTTTCCTCAGGAAATATCTGTAAACTTGAGCATTAAATATATAGGCATGTAGCCTGCGAACCGCAGACGCATTTCCGGCTAATAGGCATGCTGAGTGATATTTCAACTGATCCTTATTTACCTGGGTCTAACAAATACACTAAAGCATTAATTTACCTGTGCTTAACAAATACGGCAAATACGCTGAGGTGTCAATTTGCCTGTGTCTAACAAATACCTAGGCTCGATTTCCGCCGTCTCCCGGGTCCGGTCTTGATCCTCCCTGAAGATGGGGAAGAGTGCGGGCTCATTTTCCCGAACAGCGGCTGGTAATCGAGCCAAATACCGTAATTTGCATATGTTTAACAAATACACTGGGGCAATAATTTGCCTGTGTCTTACAAATACACTGGGGCATTAATTTACCTGTGTTTAACAAAATACACTGGCGCATTTATTTTCTTGTGTCTAACGAGTAAACAACAAATTTATTTATGTAATCCTTTACCAGTACAATGGCAACTAAGATAAAGGCGTTTTAAAACTGAAAATTCCGGTGATGTATATTTTTTAACCAAGCCGGCACGAAACCGCCAGCAACGAAAAATGTAACAGTAAAGAAAGAGCAGCCCTGTCCCATAGTTTTATTGTATTACATATCAGGCGTTCAATAAAACTCGTATACTCGTATGAGGAAAATTTGCCTCTAAAACGTGTCAGGATTAATCCGGCTCATAACACTCTCGTAAGGCTTGTCTTCTTTTTAGTGTGGTTCCTCTTTCAGCTCCTACCGTGATTTAGGTAAAAAAAATTTTACCTAAGCAGCGGGGACCCAAATTCCTGAACCGGCCTAAGCCTGTTGTGAGGCGGCTGGCGGGGGCGGCATATGTCTTTATAGCGGCCGGATACCCCCCTTAACGCTCGTTCAAATTTCGACGCTAAATGCCAATATGGCCACTTTGGATCAAATAAAGGAGGTACCGGTTTTATGTGCTCGCGTATAGGAAAAATCTTTGCTCGTTGGCACTTAGCGATAGCTATAACTAGTTTATGTATTAATATTTGTCGCATCGAGTATTTAGCAAGAAAGAACCTAGTAAATTATATACGCGTTTAAGCCCTCTTTACACCAGATCCGCTTGTTGGTGAAATACAATTTTGCAAGGGATCCGGAGAAGGGGTGAGAGCAGCCATAGGACCCCCTTGGGTTTTGTTATCTCGTTATATTATACAAAAGTTTATTGGACAAACTTTGACGATCTCTACAACTTGGCAGAAAACATTTGACCCATTGTTTCTGGGGAATTCCAGTTCATTTTGCAGCGAAGCAGGAACACCCGTAACTTAAAAGTCCCATCTTCTAGATTTCTCAAAGTCAAAAGACATTAACATTAACGGGTAAAAGTACTATTAAATAATGACTTCATTCCACTTCATTCTTTTTGGTTAATTCAAAGTTACAATCTTATTTTCTAAGCACCCACAAATAGCAAAAGCTAGTCATGGTGGAAAGTGTCTATATACAAAATACGCACTCCATTCACATTAAATCACAAGTAAATAAAAGTAAATTCATATAAATTTACAAAAGAAAAGAAAGATATAAATTATGTTAAACAATACTGAGGTTAACTGGAATAAAAAATATAAATCAGAAACTTACAAGTACAATATTAAGACGATTGCAAAGATAATGATTGGGGGAGTTACGGACGATCAATAGGCCATTTGCGCTAAGAGGCATGTGACACCGTTTTTATGAAAATGAAAGTTATATGATTTTGGCTTCGAACAACGATTAGTGGGTCATATCTTAAACAAAATAATGGTGATTTGGTTTTTCAAACCCGCACCATTTTCTTAAAATGAATAAGTTCGTAAATGTGATTTTTAAAATTATGAGTTACCTCTCTCTGAACACAAATTTTGCACTTAAACTTCAAGGAAAATGTTGAAAAGAGATGTGATAACGTTTGCAGCACATTTGAGCGTAACTATGAAACGTTTAACAAGATATAAGCAAGAATTAGTTTTGGCCGCCTTGTTGGAGGGCAAGAGCATGCCCTCCAACATGGCGGCCAATACAAATAATACTACTTTGCTGAAAAATCAAAGTGCCACAAAATATCTCCCTTTAATGCGTTTCCTCTCAAATTTCAGGTGTAAGATAATTTTTGTGTGCTCTAACAATTTTTGGCATCAGCAAGATTCCAACTCATTGTTTAAAGAAAGCATTGGTCACGTGACCTCTTAGTGAAGTGGCCTATTTATTTCATTTGTCCTATAAAGGTAGGTAGATCAGGAGAGTCGTCTGTCTGTGATTGGTTTTCAAGTAAGCAATCATGTAAAGCCTTCAGCACAGAATTGGCCCAAAACAGCAATATTCTCGAAATAAAGCCCCTTTAAGGCGGGAAGCGAATCCCTGAATGGAAACATGAACCTCTCTACGTGTACCTGCGGACGTCGTGTTTCGTGGCGCGTTTTCCTTTAAATCGTTGGTTTTTCAACGAAAATTGTTATTGCGGCCGGGGTACCGCTAATAGCGAGTTGCGCGACCACAACGAAGGCCATCATCACGACTTTGATTTCTTTGGAAATACCCATAGAGAGTCATTAGCAGGGACGGCGGAGCGCAATTTCAACTGGGGGCTGCCCCTAAAAACTCGCGCCGGAGACGCGCGTTTCTTGGGGGAGGGGGTGGTCTGGGGGAATCCTCCCCAAGAAAATTTAGAAATCCAGACTCGGACATAGTATTTGCAACATTCTCAATGAGATATCTCTCTAAAAACCTCAACCTGGATAAGGTGTAAAATGACAGGTACTCGGCTTTCAGCATGTCCCTTATACTTAAACAAAAACAGTTTTCCTCTAGAAAAGTTGGGGCTCCCCCAGTAACCCTGACTTTGTGTTCCAGAAATAAAAAAAAGTCATAAAACAAAGGAATAAAAGAGAATCCAAGTTGTAAAGGCCTTGAATGACAGTTTATGATCAGTCCTTGTTTCTTTGCAAGCTGACCGAGCTAACAGGTTCATTGCCTATTTCTTTTCCCTTCTTTTTTTCTGACATATTTCATTCCCTACAAAACTGAAAAATTACCGATAGCCAAAAAAAAATCTGTCGATGGATTTTAACAGTTGAGTTGAGCATTGCGTGATAAGAAGATAAACAAGATTTACATACGTCATTGGACAGATGGATTTTCAATTTAATTTCTTACTTAGAATTGCTGTCTATAAATATATTTTTACATGCACCTTTTAGTTATAAGCCTCCATTCGAATCAGCTCAACTTTCTCTTTGTTGCTCCAAAACCGCAAGATATAATTAAGTCTGCACCATTAGGTGGAGGGATGTTTGTTTACCCCTAATCCCTTTAATAGCGCTTAGTTACAAGTCACTATTCCTGTAGTACCGATATTTTGATCTTCAAATCAATCATTCGCCTCCTAGTTATGATTATTTTCCAAGTCATCCCATTCCTTAAAAGATAAAACATAATATTAATAATACAAAATAACTAAAAAAATATAATGATTTTAATAATTTTAATAAAATGGTCAATTATACTTTATATTCCTAAAATCCTAATTGTACGTACTTAGCAAGGGAGTACGTTGACCGCAGGTGGATATATGTCACCAATATATTTAGTAGGCTTTTTGCTGGAAAGGTTTAATTGAATTGACTCACTTTACTCAAAATAAGCCAACCACATGGTAAACACTAGCCAAACAGGAACGTGTTGTGCAAAATTCATCTACTCCCTCATTAAATTTTACCGCGAAGCATAAGTTTAAACCATTTCCTGCATGTAGCTTAATATTTGAAACAGACTTGTTTCCCACTTTCCGTAATAATTAATCTGTACAAAAAAGGTCGTAGTTGGTAGTTCCAAGAGTGACTGTTTTCATTTGTGAGAATTCATATATTCAACAATTAGGTGTGGCTCTCCCCTGGATTATTAGCTTCTAAAAAGCACAATTTCTTTTAACTACAAAACTGACCGTTTTCATGACCTACTCAGTTTTAGGTAGCTCGGGGAAACATTTTATTTTAAAACAGGGAAGTAGAGTAAGGTAAACAGACAAGATAAACAAACCCCTAATGCTGGCGGCTGCGAAAATTGGTAAACACTTAAAGTTAACATAACATGAGTGTTCTTCATTTGTGAGACATTTTTGCATCTCATTTATCTCTTTTTGGTACTATTATACCCCCAAACACAGAAGATATATAAAATCTTATAAATCTAAAGGAGAGAAAAACTGCTATCTACTTTTGCGTAAGGGAGAAACACTTATGCACGGAAAATTACTGGGAGTGGGTGCAAGAATCCTTTCCTAAGCGAGCCCTACAGGACTCAGGAATCCATCCCATTTTCTCGTCACTTTCGTGGATATGTTACGAAAGATTGTCACTTTTTTCAAATCGAAATCAGTTAAGAATGTGTATCACTTCTTTAAACGTGTTCAAATTTGGTACCAAAACAATATCAAGCAATTAGCCCATTAAAACGGGGATATTGAAATTTTGCAACAGCTGCCCGTAGATGGGGAAATATTGTTTGCAGTCCGTATGTTCTTATTGGTTGAATACTGAAAGCTGTCATGACCTAATTCTCTATTTGAAGCCGTGAGAAGGAAAATTAATAGGGTTATACTGCCTTTTAATGTTTTTTCCGTTTTTAGGAACACGTTTTTAGTTTCCAAACCACTGAGGTCACTTGGTAAGGATAATGCCGAAAATGGACGTTTGTCTCCAACTTTGTGCCTTCGGTCTGTCGCTGTTTTTATTTCCAGTTGCCTTTGGTTGCATTAATCTTGGTAAGCATTTTACATCATCTTCAAATTTAATTTAAAACCTCCTTTAGTTAAGTTAACGTATCTTGAAGGCAACTCAATTAAACATTCAAAAGTGGAATCAACCATTCAAATATATATGAGGGTCCACAATAGGTTTGGCGGGATGCGGGATTTGGCTATTTTTCGTGCTGATACTCGGGAAGCGAGCTGAAAACAGGAGCGGGATGCGGGAATTTTAATAACCAGAGGGAGCAACGACCTCATTATCCCTGTATTAGATCTATTATAACCTGGAATATCAATGAACTTTGTGCCCCGCGCTACAGTCGGCGACTAAAATGGTCTCGCTAGCTTGCGAAAGTTGACTATTGTCACTCTGGATGGAGAAGCAAACTTCCTGCTTGGAAAGGTGCCCGCATTTGGTCGTGCTATTTGATTCAATAGCAGGCTTATGTTTTCATAAAAAAGACCATTTTCTCAGTCTTTTCAACCAGTGTGTTTATATACATTTTCCATGTCCTACACTCCACGTAAGCAATTGACAGAATTGGCTTCATGGCCGGAAACTAGCAGCAAAGCAGTTGAATCATAGTGAGACATCAATCTACCTAACTCCAAAAATACAGGACTTCTAAAATTATCAAAGTAAACATGTACCAAAGCGCGGAAGAAAAAATGATCATCAACACTGACAATTGTTAGAAGGTAAGTCTTATACAACGTCTATTTCAATAATTAAGCAAAAAATCTCGTAAAAAAATGGGATGGGATCGGGATTCGGGCATAAAATAGGGCGGGATGGCGGGATTGATAAGAAAAAAAGGCAGGAAAGCGGGATTTGCGAACCCCTATTGTGGACCCTCATATATTAAACATTCTTGAATGAGTGGAATAAATTTCTAACACTTTGTGTTCCACTACTCCACAATTTGTAGTAGAAACAAAAATAAATACTTGTACATAAAAACCAGAAAAGAGAAAAAGCTTAGCGATACTTCGAATCATGCGGCAAGGTGTGAAACGCTTAAAATGAGATTAACGGGATGAACATTTAAACGACTTTTTTTATTCCTTTTTTATACTTTTTGGCTTTTATTTTCAAAAGTGCAGTGAGTGTTTTTGTTTTTAATTTTTCTCTTTTTTGACTCATTTTGACTAATTCAACCAACCGGAATAGTCATGCAAAATTGTCGTATATTTTGTTAATAGTATATGTTGTGTAAAGAATTGCATATAGTGCTTATTGAATTTCTTTGTTGATATTTTCCATATATCTTCATTCAAAGCCTGTTAGCCCTATTTTTCATGATTTTTGGTCACGCAAACGAATTGAGTTCAAAGTAGTTTACCCAAATATACTGTCTGTTTATGCCGCCAAGAAAGACTAATAACGCCGCAAAATTTATTGTGTCTTTGAAGCAAAATAACTCGGAACGCTTCACTATCAATGGTTTGTTCACATGTAAGACCACTAAATTTGTGCCAAATGCCCTTGCGCAACTTTGGACAAAACGCGAACTTCAATATCTCGAAAAATGTTTTCTGTTATGTCGGGTTTTGAAATTCGTTATTAAGTAGAACAGTTCAGTTCACTATTTGCGCGGTAACTTTTTTGCGTAGCAATCGAATTGATTGGATTCAAATTACTTTTCGCAAACTCCTGGCTGTTACGCCGCACGGAAAAATTTATAACGCCAGAGAAATCACTGTGTCTTTCAAGACAAATAATTCGGAAGGCTTCGTCTGTGCGTCACAAATATACTTTTTTATCTGAGAACTAGACTTCCTAAACTTTGAAAATGGGCCAAATAGAAATCAGTACGTTGAATATTTGCGGACTTACGGTTTTTCGAAGATTAACATAACGTCGTTATGGCGGTCTGACGCGTCCATTAGCGCTCGTCACAAATTTCGACGCTAAATGCCAATATGGCAGGGGCACCCAAAGACCGTTTTCTATAAAATATCTGTTCTTAAAAGCAAATATTGACTAGAATTTTCGATTACTTGAGGACAGCTAAAAATTTCTAGATGACCGTTCCATTCATGTACTATTTTCGAAGTTTGAGTTTTCACATTGTACTGCCCAGGTTAGGTTATTTTTCGTAGTAAAAAGGAAACTTAAAATTTTCGGACTCAAAAATGCGATGTAGAGAGGAATTAAAAAAACCGGCGCTGTCGTAAAACGTTAAATTGCATCTAAAATTTTCGGGAAAGAAATACTGGAGCCCTAATAATTTAATTTCGAACAGACTCAAGTTGCCCTGGGATGACCGAACAGATACAAATTTTATAGCATCGCGTAGAATGCATTTCTAGAGATTTAAAAGTACTCTGGATAGCCTAAAAAGTGTTTTCAATGTATGTAGTAGGAAACCGTCGTTGGTTGCCCCTAATATGGCCACCTTGGATCAAATAAAGGAGGTTGTAAGGGGAGAAACAGACAAAATTAATTTAAAGCTTGATAAACTGACAGCAAATGTTGAAGAACTTTGTAAAACAGTCAAATTCCTTAGTGATAAGTACGACGAGCTGCTTCCTCAAGTGCAGCAAACAAACGGGAAGTTAAACCAGCAGGCAAAAAGTATTGATGCTGTAAAGGTGGAACTTGACAAAGTTAAGAAATGTGCTACAGATGCAATGTCCCAAATTGAAGAAATCGTCCAATACGTGTGCAGAGACTGTCTGGAAATTTCGGGTATAAAACCTTCTGCCGAGTGCACATGTGAAAAGATTGTCACCTCCATTAGTGCAGTGATTGATGTCACTACAGTGAAGGAAGAAATTTCTATCGCTCATCAAATTCCCACTTATAAGGAGGATGCGCCTCCAGAGATAATTGTTGAATTTACAAGGAGAAATAGATTGTATCATAATGGTAGTCTTAGAAAGCTGGCCAACGAGAAAATTCAAGATTTACCCTATCTTAACCTGAAGTCTACCGAAAATTTGTACACTTCCGAATCACTCACGCCCTACAAGAAGCAATTCAACTCTTCAGTAAAGTAAACAAGCAAAAGAAGAAATTCAAGTCGACGTACATATGGACACATAGTGGAATAATCTTTAGCAAAGCAAACAAGAATTCTACTACGACTCATAGTTTCGACACATTGGAGGACCTTGCAAAATTTCAAAATGAACTTCAACATCTTACTGCCTAGATTCTTCCGTTTACAGCTTTTCCACTTACGAGGAAAAAGACACCATAGTCTAGAAAAACCGCGCAACATCGTGATCAAATTTAGTGTTGAGGTATTCCTTATACGTTATCTACATGGTTCTATTATTGAATGGCGCATATTAATCTCAACAGTTTAAGTGAACTTCCATTTCATGACTTGAATTTAGATCAGTGAATTCCTGAAGGAAACAGGTACGTGGGTTTATTTATCCTTTGTTTGAAAATCTTTTTCAATATGCCAGCAGCCGCCATACATACAACACAAGATATGAATCTAAGCAAAACCTCTGCAAGCCACGTCGTCGAACGTGGGCAAACAAATCTTTTTGTATCAGCTAATAGATCTCTGGAGCAATATTCCTCATCACGTGAAAGATCTCACCACATTTTCCTTTTCCAAAGAAATAAAACGTTTTTTGCTGTCAGAACAATAATCGAAAGTGACCTCAATAGAAATTTTATTATTAACTATAACTTAATTCTGCTATTAGCTCCTCTCCTCCTCTGGCTCTCTTTTTTACTGAAACAAACTTAAAACAGTATTGGGGGTTAACACGAAAACCTCACGGTTCCTTTAGCCTCTAGGCTCCAAATAATTAATTATTATTCCTATTTATCACATTGTAAATTCGTAATGTATATAACTTTTTTTCTTGCAATAATTCTAAGTGAGTGAGTCAATAAAAGATTGTTATTGTCGTTGTTGTATAAGTTCACTTATAAGAAAAATAAAAATTTGCCCAAAATCACCTGTGCGCAACTTCGGACAAAAACACGGAACTCAATATCTCCAAAAATATGCTATGTAAAGTTGGGACTTTAAAATCTTGATGCAGTAGAACAGTTTATTTCACTATTTTAAATTTAATTTTTGCTTATGAGTTCAAACTATTTTTCTTAAGTTACGGTAATTCGTGACATTTCTACACAAATTAATCAGCGCGTGCGTATATAAAAATCTATGCTCGTTGGCAGTTAGCGATAGCTATAATTAGTTTATATAATATTTGTCGCATCGGCTAGTTAGCAAGAAAGAACCTGGTAAATTATATACGTTTTTTAAGCGTTCTTTTTTCAAGATTCCCTTGCTGATGAAACACACTTTTGCAAGGGAGAAGGGGATGAGAGCGGCCATAGGACCCCCTTGGATTTTGTTATGTCGTTGTATTCTGCAGAAGTTCATTGGACAAACTTTTATGATCTTTACAACTTGGCATAAACATTTGACCCATTCATTCTGGGACATGCCACTGCTAATATTTGTAACGTCATTCAAAATGGTCGCCATCTATCTTGACCACCATTTGGATTTTTGCTGAAAATTCATTTTTTGTAAATAATGATGGAACGTACCTCTTACTATACTTAGACATTGTGAGGGGTAAACTAACCAAATTTTATCAAGAAATGATTGGTTAATTATAGGACCACAACACAAGGCTACATAAGCCACAAGATATGCCTCAGAAACATAGTTTCATGTCGAGCTTGTAACGCTGAGTTTGCGTCCCAGAAATAAAAATGTCATAAAACAAGGAGATGAAAGAGGATCCCAGTTGTAAAGGCCTTGAATGACAGTTCAGTCCTTGTTTCTTGGCAAGCTAATTATGAAGACTAAAACAGGGTCATTGTCTATTTTTTTTCTCTTCATTTTTCTCTGACATATTTTTTTCCATAAAGCGTGATTTCATTCTCCTATTAGGAATCCTAAAATCGGGTTACTTTCTAATATATAACTGATCATGAGAGTTTACCGACAGTCATGGAAAATGCTTTGTCGTATTTTAACAGTTAAGTTGGCATTGTATTAAATAAGAAGATAAACACGATTTACATACGTCATTTGGCAGATGGATTTTTAAATTAATTTCTTAATTACTTGAAATTGTCTATAAATATATTTTCACATGCATTTTTTAGTTATACGCCTCCACTCGCATAAGCTCAACTTTTTCTTTGTGGCTGCAAAACCGCAAGACATTAACTTTTAAGTCTGCACCATTTAGGTGGAGGGAATTTTGGTTACCCCTTATCCCTGTACTTGAGCATAGTTAGCTTGCTATTCCTATAGTAAGGGAGTACGTTAACAGCAGGTGGATAAAAGTGACCTATATATTTAGAATCAGGCTTTTTGCTGGAAAGGTTTAATTGAATTGACTCACTTTACTCAAAATGAGCCATAATCAGCAAACCACATGGTAAACATTAGCCAAACAGTATAGTGTTGTGCATTTCTTTTATTCATTCGTTAAATTTACTGCTTCCCGAAGCATAAGTTTAATGTATTTGCTGTGGTTTAAAATTTGAAAACTTGCTTCCCACTTTCCGTACTCATTAATCGGAACCAAAAAAAGACCCCAGATGCTAGTTCCTTATATTGGCGTATCTGGTTTGTAGGAATCGTATATTCAACAATTAGGTGTGGCTCTCCCCTGGATTATTAACTTCTAAACAGCATACTAGCTTTTAAATAACTTCAGAACTGACCGTTTTTATAACCTACAGTCTCAGGTAGCTCCATGTTCTATTAAGTGAAAACTCAGGGAAACATTTTATTCAGCAGGGAAGGCGAGTAAGGTAAACTGCCAAGATAAACAAGCCTCCTCAGATGCAGCCGGCTGCAAAAAATGCTACACATTAGCTGACGTAAAGGGTGCTTCACTTTTTAAACAGTTCTGTATCACATTTATCTCTTGTTGGTGTTCTTACACTTACAAATACAGAGGATATATAAATTTTTATAAATCTAGAAGAGACAAACGCTGCATGGATAATAACTGGGAGCGCGTGCAAAAAATTTCTGCTGAGCGCGCTAGCCCCTCAGAACTCGCTCAGGAATCTAGTCGTAACTTTCTTGTCACTTTCCTTAATATGTTACGAAAATGATGTCACTTTCTTCAAATCGAGTTCAGTTAAGAACATGGGTATCTTTTCTTAAAACGTGTTCAATTAAATTTGGTACCAAAACAATAACAAGCATAGTCCATTAACCCAAGGATATTAAATTTTAGCCTCAGCTACCTGTAGATGGGAAAATATTGTTTTCTGTCCGTATGTTCTTATTGGTTGAATACTGAAAGCTGTCATGACATAGTTCTCTATTTGAAGCCGAGATAGGAAAATTAATAGGGTCATACTGCCTTTATAATAATCTTTTTCACGTTTTTGGCGCACGTTTTTAAGTTACCACACCACCGAGGTAAGATGGTAGGGATAATACCAAACATGGACGTTTGTCTCCAACTTTGTGCCTTTTGTCTGTCGCTGTTTTTATTCCCAGTTGCCTTTGGTTGCATTGATGGTAAGCATTTAACATGTTATATTATCTACAAATTTTGAAAACCTTCTTTAGTTAAGTCACCGTACCTTGAAGGCAACTCAATTAAACATACAAAATTAAAGCGGAATTAACAATTCTTGAAGCAGCGAATTGAATATCTGACACTTTGTGTTTCACTACTCCAAACTTCGTAGTGAAATTAAAAATAAATACTTATCATCACATAAAAACTAGAAAGGAAGAAAGCTTAACGATACTTCGAGTCATGCTGCAAGCTGTGAAACGCTCAAAATGAGGCCGAGTTAACGGGGTGACCATTCAAGACTAACAAAGAGCGACTTTTTTTATTCCTTTTTTATTTCATTTTATTTTTTTGTTTTGTTTTCCAAAGTAAGTGTTTTTTAAATTTTTATTTAACTTATTATGACTAATTCAACCAATAGTCATGCAAAATTCTCGAATATTTTTGTTCATATATATATGTTGAGTAAAGCATTGCATATTAAGTGCTTATTGAATATCTCAATCGATATTTTTCATATACCTTTCTTGCAAACCTGTTAGCCTAACATTTTTAAAAGTTCTTTTTTTTTTTCGGTCTGTAACGTTTGATATGATTAAAGCTTGGAATACATATTTGTTTGCGATGAAGCAGTGATCTTGTCATGACAAGTAATTTCTTTGCTAACGTTATAAGTTCTTCTGCTATATAATAAGGATCGAGGTGGATTGGCAATATTTAAACAACATGCCGGAAAGAAATTGTTTGAAAACAGTAGTGCAACCGGAGTTCTCTTTTAGTCGTTGTCATTTTTCACTGCCTATTAGTAGAGCAATTTATTATTAATTGATCTGTTAATTTTCAAGACATGACTGAAATTTCTTATTTTCTGTACAAGTTATTAGCGGAAATTAACCTTGGCAAGTTCACTTGTAAGAGTACTACTGATTTCTTGGGCATTACTATAGCGGTGAAATACATAACTGTATCGTCAGCGTACATCAGAATCTGGCATCGTTCTAGATCTATAGGCAGATCGTTAACAAACAGGGCAAAGAGAAAAGGGCCAAGAATTGACCCTTGAGGGACACCCAATGTAATAAGACATGCATCAGAGATTTCTTTACGAAAACTCACGAGTTGTTTTCGGTCTGTCAGGTAATTTCGGAACCAGTCTAACTCAATATCCTTAAGTCCATATGACTCTAGTTTGCTAATAAGTATTTCGTGATCAACAGAGTCAAATACCTTGCGCAAGTCAATAAATACCGCCTTAGTGAGCAATCCAAGGTCCATGCCACGCCGGATGTAATCTGAAAAGGCAATAGCGGCAAATCCAGTTGAATGGTTCCTTCTGAAGCCACACTGGAAAGGGTTGAGCAGCTTATGTTCGCTTAGAAAGCTATGTAGTTGATGATGTACAACCCTCTCCAACACTTTGGATACAACTGGTAAAATCGAAATTTCACGGTAATTATCCATATCGGTAGACATTCCTTTCTTATGCAGTGGGGTTATTTTTGCGTACTTCCACTCACTCGGCACTGTTCCCTGCGACAATGATTCAATTACAATTCGAGTCAGCGGCTTGACAACAACCACTGCAGCATCCTTCAACATACGCAGAGATATATTGTCAAGACCACTAGCCTTGCTTGCTTTGAGACCTTGAAGTGTCTTAACAACCAGCGACTCATTTATCAATTCAAATTTAAAATTTCGTATTGATCCGTTAACTTATTGATCAACGCTTCTTTTTTTAAAAGAAACATTACCGAGAGCCCGCTTAAGGCGTACAGCGGCTGAAGCGAAAAAATTATTGAAATCATTAGCAATTTTCTTTCCATGACTGGCCTCACTACAAAGCACACCGTCAATATTGATATTTTTGGAACCGCCAGAGCTCTTGTTCCCGGGAGTGATCTTCTTCATTGTTCTCCAAAAGGCTTTGGTGTCATCTTTATGGTTATCAATTAACTTCTTGTTGTATGTTTGTTTTGCCGTCTTTACTGAATTCGTCACACGATTTCGCATAGATTTATACGCAAGCCAGTCTTCGTCACGGGATGATTTTCTCGCCTTTTTTAAAAAGTAGTCACGCTGACGAATGTCTTTCTTTATTTGGCCAGTCATCCATGGACAATTATCTACACCACGTACTCGCTTCTGGAGAAGCGGGGCGTGACGATCAGCCACCTTAAGGAATGCGGACTTAAAATTGAGCCAGAGTTTGTCCACACAAATGACATTCTCATTTGCTGTCCCGGAGGAATTCATTCTATCAACCCAATTAACACCTCTAAGGTTTTCAGAAAACTTTGCAGGGTCTTATTTTGCATAATTCTTGAAAAGCTTTGTTTCTGGGGCAGCTTTCATCCACCTTAACTGTCTTATGCAAAAAAACATGTCATGATCACTTAGACTCAAACTTTACCCTGCAGTCTCTAATGTGAAAGTGGGCGGCTAACAAATGAAGGGGTTTACTGATCTAAATTTTCCCTCTGCAAATGTTGTTCAAGTTCGACACTGCCGAGACAACAAAGGCGTCACTATCTGCGGTACCTCCGCCACAGTTTTGTTGTGAATATGCGGCTTGAATCGCCAGCTTCGGTGTGCCACTTAACACCATCATCGGATCAAATTCCCTCCATTTATAACCCCCCCCGCCCCTCAAAATGTATTAACCCAGGGCTTATAAGCCGAAGTTTACAATGAGTAAAAAAGCGGTATCACAACCGAGTGTTATTGAACTAAACTGTTATTGTGAAAGACCTAGCGCGAGTAGCTGTCAGTCTAACTCTAACGACGCATTTATCAAATACTGATAAAGTCTTGATAAGGAAAAAGTATCCCGCAATGCATACAAGAGTACTAGTAATAGTTGACACTACAGCTGCCCCCGCTCTGTATATTGTCGAGCAATAGTATTCTCGCTCGTTGTGTAGCTCTTTGAAATATACCGATTTCATAACGAAGATGTTCACACATATTACATACAATAGGTGAGATAGATTCAGGAAACGTAAGGTTCCGTGCACAGTTTCGGTTCGATTTACACAGCTTTGATCAAAACATTCTCAGTTTCGAGAACAGTTTATTCTAAACCATAAGAAAAGATTTAATTAGAAGTTGAATTTTTCGCTATTTCTATTTCACTTTTTACATTTAGTTCATTTTATTTGCCGGAAAGGAAGCCTTAGAAATTAGAAGGACAGTTGATCAAATCACGCTCGCGCATTCTAGTCTTATTTTAAACTTTATAGCGGAAGGACATCTGTTAGCAGGGAATAAGTCAGCACAGAATTTGATGATCCGCGAATTTCTGTATCATCCATCGTTCTGCTGGTGATAAGCTAGCCGTTTAATCATTTACTCGTCTTGCTTTTTTGGGGCCGAGTCTTATTCCGGTCAAAGAAAGAGAAAGAGTGTCTGGCAAGGTTTCCCGAATCAAAGATTTGTGCACTCGTGCCTGGCAAAACTCACTTGGTGTTAAAATATACACTGTTATACGCACCTTATAAGTTCATCTGCGCTTAACTAGTGTCTTTTGGTCCATAACTTTCATAACAACTGCTCCACAGAATGTGACTGATAACACGTAACGCAAAAGAGTATCGAAGTATGACTCCACAATTAATGTCACAAAATCCTATTGTAAGCGGTCCTTTCGGGAGTTTTTGTGTTTTACGTCATCCTAACTATTTCGTACTTGCGGGCGCAAACAATAGAAACGTCATCATTACCTAACGATTCCTCGCGGCCCCTGTTCAAGCAAATCGAGATTTTTTCTATATTGACTGTAGGACTGTATATTTCAACTGCAAGTACTTTCCTAAATATGCGCGCGAGTTACTAGTCTAAGAGTGCCTCCTCGGGATTTCGCCTTCTGCTCGAACTCCCTGCGGGGGGGAACAATCACTTTTTACACCTCCATTCCTACATAATACAGAGCTTTCGCGCCAGCCTTTGTATATAAAATCTGATCAAACCTAAAAGCTAAGCTCCAGCATAAGACTTGACTCGTGAGTTTGTTAAATAAAACCAAAACAGAGGAGCTAAAAACAAAACAAATAAACAAAAAGAATTACATATTTATTCAATTGTTTCTTTCCTGTTTCAGAAAACTGTCGCATACTGGTGTTCCCACCACCTTTCTTCTTCATTAATAAACGTTTGGTGAACCACACCATAGGAACTAGGGCTGATGTCGATTTTGAGACCTGCAAGCTGCATTGTTACCACGAAAACAACTGCACGAGTGTCAACTATCGCGAGGAAAATAAGACATGTGAGCTCAACAACGCTACCCACCTTCTGCATGATAATGAGTTTGAGGACAATGTTGGTTACCTGTATCATGGAGCAGATGTAAGATTGTCTTCAATTTTATTATTGTTAGACCTCCTTCCTCCTCCTCTTCCTACTTTTCTCCTCTTTCTTTCCTCCCCTTCCTCCTCCTCCTCCTTTACCTTTCCTTCTCCCCTCTTCCTACTCTTTCTTTCTTTCTCTTCCTCCTCCGCCTCCTCCTCCTCTTTCTTTCCTCCTTCTCCTCCTCCGTTCCTTCTCTTCCTTTTCCTCCTCCGATTCTTATCTTCCTCCTCCTGCTCCTCCTCCTCCTTGTCCTCCCCTTTCCGCCTCCTCCTCTTCCTCCTCCTCCTCCTGCTTCCTTCTCCTCCTTGTCCTCCCATTTCCTCTTCCTCCTCTTCCTCCTTCTTTCCTCCTTTCCGTTCTCCTTTCCTACTTCTTTTGCTGCTGGTGTTCCACTTCTGATCCTCAAAACATAATGAAATGTCAAAAATCATTGAGCATAAAAAGGTCCACGGCGATGATACTTCTTTTCTATGAAAACTCCGCTAGTCCCTTATTTTACTTTCTTTTTCTTCTTTTTGAAAGAGTGCCTGTGATAAGTCCCCCTGCTACAATGGAGGAATCTGTCAATCCGGATTCTCAGCAAGAGGATATCGGTGTTTGTGTCCTTCTGGTTTTAAGGACTTTCGCTGTCAAGCAGGTAAGAAAGTAAATTAAAAAGAGAAAAAGAAGCCTTACTTTCACTAAAGATTTTTGCGGCCTTCGAGAACTACTTTTCTTAGCATGATTTGGCGGAGTATTAAATCCAACCCACAACTTCAACGTTTGGTGGACTCTTCAGCGTCGGACTTCACTGGACATGTCGGATGGATTTCTGCATAGCGTCAAACACGGACAGCATGTTAGTAGAAAAACAACTAAATGATTGTCAATGATCAAGCGGATTGTTAGTTTGATTGCATGAATAGAAACGTTTCGAGAAAAAATCTACTGGTTGTTGTATGAAAGATAAAAAATCGAGGGTCCGATCGAGTGTGAGAAAGAAAATAATTATTAATATATTTGATCAAAGAGTAATTGCAGCCGGCGACAAGAAGAGCCCGCAATCCTAATCTCCATCACACCTAGGCGGTACGTATTGTAGGCAGCTTCGTTCAAACTTCCACTAAGAATGCAGTGGAATGCAGAAGTCACAATCTGATAACGTTCGTTTGGACCTTCTATCACTCGTTATCTGATTACTCCTGATTTGACTTTCACTATCACTAAAACTTACGCAAAGCACAGCGTTGGTTGAGCAAGGGCATCATGTCAGACCTTCGCTGTCGTCCGCATTCCGTAACCTTTAGTACATAACATATCTTTGTTGCCACATTGTCCTTCGTAGAATTGATTCAAGATGCATCTTAACTAAAATTTATTATCATTCAGATGTAGACGAATGCCGGTCCAGGTCTCACAATAATTGTAGCATCAATGCCATCTGCAATAACACCAAAGGTTCCTATAACTGTAGTTGCAAACCAGGGTATAGCGGGAATGGACGCGACTGTTCAGGTGGGTGCTTGCGAAGTTTTATCTAATATTATTTACTTAGGCTCACCAATCCTTGCAGAGTCACCGTTACAGCCCACACTGAATTACTGGGGCCCGTAACAGTTCCTTCCCTCATGAGAAATAGACCACCACACAGTACGTGGGTTGTTCATCGCCCCAAAGAATTTGTCTGTGCCAGGATTGTGAGATAGGGCCCACGATTTATCGTCCTTATCCCAGAACACTAAAAAGTCTAACCGTTTGCAGATTTCTTCACCGTGTTTTTTTTTTTTTGCATTTGTTTACCTTCTAGTTTTGAGTAATTTTGGTTATAAGAAATAAGTAAAATAAAAGGCACACAAGCATAGAAGTATAGGAATACAATTCTACTGGTACGATATGCTTTACGCCTCGTATCATGTTAGAAACCAAAGTTAAATATATGCGGTTCCTTTCTTATTGATCCAAAGCAACTTGGCAGCGAGTTTCAAAACAAAAAAGTGTTTATTGTCACATTAGCAGTGCTTGTATACTGTTTCAATAATCAGAAGACCACTTTGTAGAATTCCTCTAATACGACAGATAATGCACTTTTGCAGTGTTTATGTTTATCTTTTCTCGTACCAGCACCTTTAAATTTACTGGGTTTGTTTTTCAGACATAGATGAGTGCAACGCTGCAAATAATAGCTGTCATGAAAACGCTTGGTGCAATAACACCCAAGGATCATTCAATTGCTCCTGCAAACCAGGGTACGATGGAGATGGACACAATTGTACAGGTAAAATCATCTGCCTGCGTTTGGTTAACGTATCCACTTGTAAGTTTTAAAACACTGTTTTCAGGAAACCTTTTTTTCTTCGGGAGAACGAGAAAACATAAAGATATAGCCGGGGGGAGGGGGCATGTTCGCAGGCTAAATGTGTCTATTATATGAAATGACGTATACTAATTTCTTCTTGTTTACTGCCGGATTATTGCAATTTTTATGCCCCTTGCTCGCTTGCCAATAAACCATGTGCTGTACAATGTGCATTGCTAGGGGTGAGCTCGGTTTGCTGGTAGAACTGAACGGACACCCTTATTTGCCGTAATTTGGCCACTCAGTTAAGTGGCCGTTTATTGATAATACCAAATCAAATTACACAAAAACCGGAAATAAAAACCTCATCCCAGCAAAGGTGAGGGCAAACACGCACTGAATGAGAACTTAACGCACCGATGGGACTGATCCGAAACCATGGGCGGGGTAATAGGGTGGGAAAAATGTTTGCCCTGCACCGAAGCTGAACTGAAAGAGGCCTGAAATCACATGTTCGGACGTTTAAGTATCTACTAATGTAAGTCCCGGATGTACCCATCCGGGATACTAAAAACGCCACGCATGCTGCATAAAATAATTTATTCCCCTTGGTAATAAATGTCATTTATGCCCCTTGCTTGCTTGCCAATAAACCATGTGCTGTACAATGTGCATTGCTAGGGGTGAGCTCGGTTTGCTGGTAGAACTGAACGGACACCCTTATTTGCCGTAATTTGGCCACTCAGTTAAGTGGCCGTTTATTGATAATACCAAATCAAATTACACAAAAACCGGAAATAAAAACCTCATCCCAGCAAAGGTGAGGGCAACCACGCCAAAGCCCTGATCGACCCCTGGAGACAGGGCCGCCCCACCCGAAGCCCAAGCAATGCACAGTGCCTGAACAAGAAATACTGTAAAACAACTTAAACTTGCAAGTACACACTCCTAGTGCCCGCTGGTGGGAATGAGAAAGTGGAAGCTAGTATTCAACGACATGTTAATACTAATGAAAAATATTGTCAGGCTTGTGGAACAGTTGGCCCATGCACAACCGCCCCTCAAGCAGGTAATCCTAGAGTGAAATGACAAACTGAACTGAAATAAATTCATTAACCTCAAATAGCTTAAAGACGGGAGAAGCAGACCCTGAAGGGAAACATTTGGCCCTTGCACAAATGTCCCCAAAGCCGGCACTACCTAATAAACTTCCCCTAAAAGGTCACACTGCTGGCCCCTACTCAGCCGCCGCTCCTAAATTACACCTGCTTATGAATTATACATTCAAGTTATGCTCAAGAAAATTTGCCATTTTAGGAAACAGTTGGCCCCTGCACAAATGCTCCTAAGCCGGCCCTACCTAATCCTTTCAAGTTAAACAAAGACGATACACGATGGAGCTCCACAAGAATAATGAACTACATTTGCTTAACCCACTGACCAAGTGGCCCATGCACACATGGTTGGATAAAGCAATATAAGAGTGTCTCCTATATGCAGTAGATGTAAGATATGTAAATCTAAGATTTGGCTCAGACTCTAATACTCTGTATTCACTGTCAATGTTAAGACAAACATAACACAGATACAATTGGCCCCTGCACAACAGATCTGCGCCATGTTTGTTGTCTATACTAGTATACCACTGTAAGCATGGGCAAACGGCACTAAGTTACGCTTGGAAGGCTGACTGAGACCCCATTGTGGAGGTTCGAATATATCGCAAAAATGCATTTGATTTCCAGCGACCAAAATCCCTGATCTGTGTATCTGACATACCCTTTGCTGCCGCCCAGGAAGCAGCACCGATCCTAAAGCTATGAGTCTTATAGTGTGAAATATCCAAGTCACAAAATTGCAGGTCTTCCTTTAATGCTGTCACAAAAAAGGATCGAGTTATTGGAGAGGCATCTGGCCAGCAGAAAAGAGGCCCCGGAAATTGTCCCCGAATATTTATATACTCTGACAGGAGATAGACCGGGCAAACTGGTCTCTCTCGGTAAATGAAAATATCTACTGGGCTCGAAGAGTCGCTATGCTTGTAGTTCCTTAACGTTAGCTTTAGTGCTGTGACAGTGCCCTCCCTGGTTTCCATAAAGGCAATTTGACCGATACTAATGATATTTTGACCAGGTAGATTGCCCCGATAAGTTATTTCACCAACTCTAAGGGCAGCAAAGAAGGCAAGAGCATACATTGCCTGAGTTAATTTTTTGCTATACAGAGATGATTTTGTGTGTTCGCAGGCCAAAATGATATTTTCGAGTATGGGTAATGAAATGGGCAACCGAGTATCTCTTGAAGGGTTCATTTTACTGTAACCCCGCAATGCAAGTCTGATCATTTCCGACTTAGTGGGATCAGGCACAGAAGCTAAACGATGGGGGAAACTTAGTGCAGAAATGTAACTAGAGACGGTGGAGGCTGCATAGTTTTTCTCAGCTAAAAAGGCAATAAACAGGGCTAAAGTATGTGCTGAAAGGGGGAACAGCTGAATTTGGAGCCCTAGGCGATCCCTAATAAATTTTTGCAACATCTGCCAGGGGCGACGGTACACAGTTAAAGATGTTGTGCCCAGACTAACTTCTAATAGCTTGGCTAGCCTATCTCCCAGTTCTCTGGTAGAAGATATGATGGCAGCGGGGTTGGTGTTGGGTCCATGCCCTGCGACACTGTGCGGAATTTGTCGACCTGTAAGCGAGATAAACTATCAGCGAACACATTCTTAACTCCTTGAATATGACGCGCCCTAAAGAAGATATTGTTTCTCAAGCAAATCAGAACCATTGTACGCAACAATGCTAGCATCTTAGTGTCCTTCGTTGTTTGCTTATTGATAACATGTACTACACTCTCATTGTCGGTAAAAAAGAGCACCCTCTTGTTTCTCAGTTCACTAGACCATGTACTGAGGGCTACGACAATAGGAAAAAATTCAAGAAAACAAATATTCTGTGCCTTCCATGCGTCTGGCCATGTACCGTAAGCCCAATGCTTGCCAAAAACAATTCCATACCCACTAGACTGTGCAGAATCAGTGAAAAATTGCAAGTTATGAGAGGTTGACCAGGCTTCTTCTAAGAAAAAATACTTTCCATTGAAGGATTCTAAGAAAGTTTCCCAGATTCTTAAATCCTTTTTCGTTTCCAAAGTTAACCGAATTCTGTGGTGAGCACGTTTGACTCCAACAGTGAGATTTATTAGGCGCCTAATAAAAACTCGACCCGAAGTAATTACCGAGCAGGCAAAATTCAGCAGACCTACAAGGGATCGGAGCTCCTTCAGTTGTACTCTTTTCCTGGGTAGAAGACAGCGAATTGCGTTTAGGGTTTTGTCAACTTTTTCTTTCGGAAGCCTGGCCTCCATCTCTAAACAATCTAATTCAATGCCTGCAAAAGTTAATACCGGACTAGGGCCTTCCGTTTTATCGGGAGCCATGGGAACACCAATGTCGTCACAAAAATGCAAAAACCTTTGAAGGCTAGCATCACAAGCTTCGTGGGATTTTTCAAGAATCAAAAAGTCATCCAAAATATGTAAGATGTTAGGTATCGCTAATTTGTTGCGAGCTACCCACTCCATTGCGGTACTAAGGGCCTCAAAGGTCTTGCAGGAACTAGCACAACCCATGGGGAGGCAGCGGTCAACATAATAGTTCCCTTCCCATTGCATTCCCAGTAAGTGATAGTCTAAAGGGTGTATTGGGATAATGCGGAAAGCACTCCGAACATCCGTCTTAGCAAGAGTACAACCTCTGCCTAAACGTTTGATAAACCGAATTGCATCATCGACCTTAGCATAGTGTACTGAACAAAACTCTTGCGGAATAAAATCATTAACTGACGCACCAAAGGGGAAGGAAAGATGGTGGATCATCCTAAATTCACCTTGCACTTTCTTGGGGATGACCCCCAAGGGAGATATTCGAAGGTTAGGCAGTGGGGGCTCTGCAAAAGGTCCCACTATACGACCTTCTTGGATCTCTTTAGTTAACTTTTGATCAACCCGATCTGGGTGCTCAGATGCTGACACAAGATTATTGGAAAAACTGCTCTCTAAGGGGCCATAATAATGTAAACGGAAACCATGTAAAAAACCCTTTAACAAATGATTACACAACTTTTCTGGGTAACCTGATAAGTATTTTGCTAAACTCTTAGCTTTGACTGGAGTTGGGAGTGCTTCGGATTGAAGGGGTGCGGTTGAGAGTGCCCTGGCTGGTAAAAGATGTTGTTTTGGGCCCCGCATTTCCAGCTGGCTGTTTGGCGGCTTGTTGGCATTTGGAAATTGGGTGGCTGTTTCCACACCGGAAACACTGGTGCTTGTAAGAGCATCCTGGACATGTAATCCCCCTGTGAAACTTCCAACAAAATCCCTTTGGGATAAATGATCCCTGTTGTTTACTTTTTCCCGGCTGGGTACTAAGTTTGGGACGAAAGGAATGAGACCTAAGCCATAGCTCAGAGTGAATTTGGTCCCAAGGGGCCCCCCCTGTCTGCCTAATGCTACGGAAATTCTCATCATAGAACCTCCAATTGGCTCCCTGAGAGGCTAACTCTCGGATGACAGACCCATACTTCATGAGGGCCGGGGTGTCGTAAGGGGCTTTTTCTGAATAGATGGCGACAAACACCTGAAAGGCCGAGACCCACTGCTCAATTGATTGAACAGTCTGCCGCTTAGGATTAGGTGCTAAAACTAAAGCTGGCTTGCCACCATCACCTTTCTCTACCCTGAAGGTATAATGATCATCGGAGTGAGTAAAGCTATTATTCAACAGTAGTGCAAAGTCCACATACTCGTTGGACCATATTTGTTTTTTTGACCTTATCGGGTACACGATGGGTTAGTGGCACTGCAGTTGACAAAAAAGTGTTCTTACTTTGAGGTGCTGCACTAGGTAGTAAGGAGCTTGTCACTTGCTGCACTGCATTGTTGACCGTGTTGAGGAGCGACTGGTCAGCATTGGGAGTGGTGGGGTTTGCTTCTACAACGCTTGAATCTCTGTTCACCACCTCTGCACTTGAAATTGAAATGGGATCGGGAACAAACTGCACCTCCGGGACTGCTGCCGCTGCTGCAGATGTTGAAGGATGGGCGACTGGGAATGCCGTTGCTGCTGCCGTTGTTGCAGGTTGCAGGGGCTGTGCAACAGTCAACAGTGCTTCTGATACTGCTGCTGAGATGGAATTTGTCAGCGCTGCCAATACTTCTGCTGAAAGGGTAAGCTGTGGGGTTGCCCGGGCAGCGTTTGAAGGTTCCTGCAACTGGACTGGCTGAAGCCGTGATGGATGTGGCTGCATCACCGAGTCTGTAGTGGCACTGCTGTCAGCGGCACGACGTCGTTTGTTAACTCTCTCTGTGTAGTTTTGTCCTCTCTTGGGTGGCATTCTAGTAACTAAAAAAACTCCAACATTAATCTGGTTGTCGAGAATTACAAACGAAAGTAAAGCTCTACTAAGAGCTTCGAAGCCCCCACTGGCCACCCGTGAGACAAAAGAAGAAACAGCCACTTATTGGAGCCCTCAGTTAAACAATAAATAAAATAAAAACCAGAGAAGATGACAGTATAAAAACAATCTGGCACAAATAACTGTACTATAACACCACAAGGTAGTTATAGGCAAACAAAAGGATGCAACAGCACAAAATGGTACATGAATGGCACAGAGCAATAACACTCCCGCCGAATAAGTATCATGACCAATGCTGACAAACGCCAGAACTGTACATCCCTCTAATACACAACCAGAGTGGTGACAATATGGCCACTCAAAAATAACAGAACTGGGGCAAACCAAATAATATAAATTATTGCTTCGTGGCTGACAAAAAATAGCTGTATCAGTGAGCAACATAACTCGCTGACTTACCATGTATATTAACTGAATTGAAATGAAACTTGAAATGAAAAAACAAAAGAAACTCTTACACTTCGGAAAGTGCTCTCAAAATGGCTCCCCAAATGCTTCGGTGAAGGGCCTATCTTCCCATGGCGATGTAAAGTATTCCAACGAGGGCATTCAACATTAGTCGTTGGCTACAGGTAAACCCCGATTCTGCCAACTCTCACAACTGTATCTGCCCACGAGCCGCCCCGTGGAATGTTTCCCTAAGGGGACTATCGGGATCGGCCATGTTGTTTATGCTGAAAGATTCTTTTTCTTATCCGACTAAGACATGACGTGGCTCCGTACAACTTCAAATTCGCAATTCCCGGTCTTTACGTACTAGTTCAGGTAAAGCGACCGCAGAGAGTGAGATTAACTCCGGGTAGCTTTCATTATTCCGTATAAAATCGCCTGATCTTAGCTCAAGGTCAGTAAAATGGGGGGCGGTGCTGCGAATGTTTCCGAGATCGTACCGGTTTGTTTTAACCACTCTACGCTGCCCCATCACGAGAAATACTACCAAACAGGCTGAACACAATTCTAAGTGAAGCCTTCCAAGAGATTTTTGGATCGCCAGTCCGGCGATCTAAGCACCAACAAAATGAATAAGCACACGCGGTTTCTGGTTCACCAGCCGCCATGTGACTCGAACAACAGGATTTGTGATAGCGATTAACTGCGCTAAAAACAAGTAAAGAGAGCCTACTTAACTGATCGTTGAAATCTTCTCCTCCCTTCAATGTCCTTCTGAAATGGGATAAAGGGGTTTCTTTCTAAATGTTCTTCAGTCTTCAGAGAAGAAAAATGTTTGCCCTGCACCGAAGCTGAACTGAAAGAGGCCTGAAATCACATGTTCGGATGTTTAAGTATCTACTAATGTAAGTCCCGGATGTACCCATCCGGGATACTAAATACGCCACGCAGGCTGCATAAAATAATTTATTCCCCTTGGTAATAAATGTCATTTTAAGTCTCGCTTGCGTAAGCAGCGAGACTCATAATCTGCAACGCGTTTTTTGTTATATTTAGGACACAAAAGGGGGTCATTGTGCCGGGCGTTCCTTGCGGGGACCGTGGAAACCGGGACTAAGAATCGTTCCGTGATCGAAGCCACGCATGTTTAGCGAAGAAAGCTTAGGAAATAGAGCTTTTCCGAAACGAGTCGGTTCACGAATTCTATCGCTTAAAAGCGTTGATTACTTTGGAACAAGTGAACACTACTGAGTGGTCGAAAAAGAAAAATAAGAATCTTAATTAGCAAAACTGCGATGGTCGGGTGTTGTAAACTTTTATTGTATGGAAATGGGTCTTGTGATGAGGATGCGGTTTATTTTCGGCCACGATTGAAATGACGTGCTATGTAAATCACTTTTTTGATCTCTGGCAATGATGTTATTTCTCTGGAATCGAGGCCCTAGAATTTTCGTGTATTTATACACGCGTATAGCCTGCGACCGCAAAGGTATTTCTGGTCCCCGGGGGTGGACTCCCACATGAAACAGACGGGGATGCTCGTCGGAAATTTTGATAAAGGAGACCATCTGTGCGTGGCTCAAGCTTTTTGTGACCCCTAAAGGAGACCAATCTGGGCGTGGCTTAAGCAAATTTTGACCCCTAAAAGAGACCGCTTAAAAACACACAAATACGACATGCAATGAGTTTTAATGACATAAAGACATAACAAACAAAGTTAAAAAGAAAATTGGCTTCTGTTTCTCTTCGTGTAATTCTGTGTTTCTTCGCGGAACCCTAAACGAGACCTTGGCGCCTTAAAATATTGGCGCTTTGCCCGGAACACCCTAAGCGAGACCAAAATCCAAAATTTACACCCCTAAGCGAGACGACGAGCATCCCCGTCTGTTTCATATGGGAGTCCCCCCCCGTTCTGGTCGTCGCTAACACGTGTACTAAATCAATTCAGAAACAAATAAAAAGTATCGACGTCGATAAAGCAGGTAGTAACTAAAAGGCACTTACAGCGGCATTCTGTCACGCCTGCTTGGAGATTAGATCGAGAAATGAGGACTGGCGATTAATTCTACAAGAAACATGATTAACTCGCTAAAGGTTTTTTACTTCCTACAGTATCGACGTCGATACTTTTTATTTGTTTCTGAATTGATTTAGTACGCGTGTTAGCAACGACCAGAAATACCTCTCCAGAAGCAGGCTATACGCGTGTATAAACTCTTTAAAATGTTTCAGTTTTTCTTTTAAACTGTAAAATTCGTCATGCATCTACTACTTGGAAGGAACTAATTCGAAAATCACTGTGGTTGCCTATTTTTAGGAATATCGCAGAAATCGTGAAAAAAAATAAGAGTTTATATGGTTTGGGGGACGCTATCACAAAATTACAGAGGTTTGTATGGCTCTTTAACCATGTTTCAAGAGTCATAACTTGATCCCTGTTCAACGTTAGAGCACCAAACTTGGTCAAATGACCAATCTCAACATGAACGTTTATAGGGTGGTGTCAGTTTATCGATTAGTTTAAATTTGAAACTCGCCCCAGTTCCCTACGCAAATCCGAAATGGCCAATACGACACATAATGCACTTTTGCAGCGTTTATGTTTATGTTTTCTCGTACCAGCACCTTTAAATTTACTGGGTTTATTTTTCAGACATAGATGAGTGCAACGCTGCAAATAATAGTTGTCATGAAAACGCTTGGTGCAATAACACTCAAGGATCATTCGATTGCTTCTGTAAACCAGGCTACGATGGAGATGGACACAATTGTACAGGTAAAATCACCTGCATGCGTTTGGTTAACGTATCCACTTGTAAGTTTTAAAAACTGTGATTAGGCAATCTTTTTTTTTTCGGGAGAACGAGAAAACATAGAGATGGGGGACATGGGGGGCATGTTCGCAGGCTAAATGTGTCTATTATATGAAATGACGTATGCTAATTTCTCCTTGTTTACTTCCAGATTATTGCATTTTTTTTAGTCTCGCTTGCGTAAGCAACGAGACTCATAATCTGCAACACGTTTTTTGTTATATTTAGGACACAAAAAGGGGGTCATTGTGCCAAGCGTTCCTTGAGGGAGACCGTGGAAACTGGGAGTAAGAATCGTTGCGTGATCGAAGTCAGGCATGTTTAGCGAAGAAAGCTTAGGAAAGATTAATTTAAAGCTATTCCGAAACGTGTCGGTTCACGAATTCTATCGCTTGAAGGCGTTGATTACTTTGGAACAAGTGAACACTACTGACATTACTGAGTGGTCGGAAAGAAAAAAAATAAGAATCTTAATTAGCAAAACTGAGATGGTCTGGTGTTGTAAACTTTTATTGTACGCAAATGAGTCTTGTGATGAGCATGCGGTTTATTTTCGGCGATGATTGAAATGACGTGCTATGTAAATTCTTTTTTGATCTCTGGCAATGATGTTATTTCTCTGGCATCGAGGCCCTTGAATTTTCGTGTATTTATACACGCGTATAGCCTGCGACCGCAGACGTTATGTCCGGTCGTCACTAACACGCGTACTAAATCAATTCAGAAACAAATAAAAAGTATCGACGTCGATAAAGTAGGTAGTAACAAGAAGGCGCTTACAGCGGCATTCCATCTCGCCTGCTTGGAGATTAGATCGAGAAATGAGGAGGCGATCAATTCTACAAGAAACATGATTTACTCGCTAAAGGTTTTTTACTTCCTAAATTATCGACGTCGACACTTTTTATTCGTTTCTGAATTGATTTAGTATGCGGTTAGCAACGACCAGAAATACGTCTCCAGAAGCAGGCTATACGCGTGTATAAATACACGAAAATTCAAGGGCCTCGATTCCAAAGAAATTACATCATTGCCAGATATCAAAAAAATGATTTACATGGCACTTCATTTCGATCATCGCCGAAAATAAATCGCATGCTCATTACAAGAGTCATCTGCATACAGCGAAAGTTTACCACACCCGACCATCGCAATTTTGCTAATTAAGAGCACTCAGTAATGTTCACTTGTTCTAAAGTAATCAACGCTTTCAAGCGATAGAGTTCGTTTCGGAAAAGCTCTAAATTTAGTGATTTTTTAATCTTTCCTGAGCTTTATTCGCAAAACATGCGTGGCTTCGATCATGAAACGATTCTTAGTCCTAGTTTCCACGGTGTCCGCAAGGAACGCCTGGCACAATGACCCCCGATCTGTGACCCAAACCAGACAAAAAAGTCAGGGGGGTACTTCCAGAAAAATTGGGTGGGGATGTGCGGCACGCTTCCTGAAACCCTTACCCTGCTTCAGACCAAAATCTGTGACCTATTTCAGACCTGAAGCCCTGGAGCCCAGCGCGTGACCGGAGCGCGTGACAAGCTGTTACGGCACGTACACGGTAGTTGGCGTAAACATTAAAAGGGAAACAATCTTATCGCCAAATGCTGAAGAAGTAGCTAATTCTTCTAAAAAGCATATCCAATTCAAGACTAGAGTGCACAAACCATACCCTATTTCAGACCAAAATAGTCGAGACTGATACCCTTTTTCAGACCAAAACGGCTGAAAACCATACCCTTTGGCGCTGCACATACCCATATAGCCCATATAAGGGACTATCCCCCGGAACGAAAAACTCCTTGCAGGTTATGAGTCTCAATGCTTACGCAAGCGAGCCTAAAAAAACCTTTAGCGAGTAAATCGTATTTCGTGTAGAACTGGCGGCCTCCTCATTTATCGAATCTACTCCCGAGGGTCCGATCGAGTGTAAGAAAAAAAATGTATTTGATCAAGGAGTAATTGCGGCAGGCGACAAGAGGAGCCCGCAGTCCTAATTTCCATCACGCTATCACTTTACGTTTTGTAGGCAGCTTCGTTTCGACTTCCACTAAGAATGCAGTGGAATTCAGAAGTCGCAATCTGATAACACTCTTCTGGACTTTCTATCACTCGTTATCTGATTACGCCTGATTTGACTTTCTATCACTAAAACTTACGCAAAACACAGCGTTGGTTGAGCAGGACCATCATGTCAGACTTTCGCTGTCGTCCGCATTCCGTAACCTTAAGTACATAATATATCTTTGTTGTCACATATTGTCCTGCGTAGAATTGATTCAAGATGCATCTTAACTAAAATTAATTATCATTCAGATGTAGACGAATGCCGGTCCAGCTCTCACAATAATTGTAGCAACAATGCGATCTGCAATAACACCAAAGGTTCCTTTAACTGTAGTTGCAAACCAGGGTATAGCGGAAATGGCCACAACTGTTCAGGTGGGTGCTTGCGAAGTTTTATATTATATTATTTACTTAGGCTTGTCAATCATTGCAGAGTTACCGTTACAGCCCACACTGAATTACTGGGGCCCGTAACAGTTCCTTCCCTCATGAGAAATAGACCACCACACCGGAGACTACGTCCCCGGTCCCCAGCTATTTACGAACAGTAGGTGGGTTCTTTATCGTCCAAAAGAAATTATTTGTGCCAGGGTTGTGAGACGGAGACTACGGTTTATCGTCCTTAGCCGAGAAGACTAGAAAGTCTAACCGTTTGCAGATTTCTTCACCGTGTCTTTTTTTTTTTTTTTTGCATCTGTTTACCTTCTAGTTTTGAGTAATTTTGGTTATAAAAAATAAGTGAAATGAAAGGCACACAAGCACAGAACAGCTATTACATTATGTAAGCGGCTATTCGAAGTATAGGAAATACAGGATATTACATGGCCGCGCGAGGATACGAATTTTATTTTCTAGTGCTGAAAGTATCTCTCACGAGTGAGCGAAGCGAACGAGTGAGAGATACTTTCAGCACGAGAAGATAAAACTCGTATCCGCAAGCGGCCATGTAATGTTCTGTTTCTTTTATAGATACTGATGAAATTCCTACATAAAACACAACTTTTTTTTATTCATTTTCGAAACAGCAAAATAGTGGAATTAAAGTGGTTATCTATCGCAAAATGCCTGTCACAAAAACGTTATGAAACTCGGATATAAAGATATAAAGGAGAAATAAAGACAATAATACTTATTTTTTCTCTTCCAAAAAATCAAAATTTTAATGAAGAGGAGAAAAAGTGTATGTTAGTAACCATGGCGACACCAATATCCTCACACGTGAAAGATAAAGATAGTATCTTCACTGCGAGCGATGAAGATATGATTTTTTAGTAAAAGGAAAAATCCTGGTATTTCATAAGTATCTATATAATAATACAATTTTCTGGTATGATATGCTTTACGCCTCGTATCATGTTAGAAACCAAAGTTAAATATATGCGGTTCTTTTGTTATTGATGCAAACAAATTGGTAGTCTGCTACACAGCCGTTTTTAGTGTCGTCACGCAATGCTCCTCCCCACAAAGGGGAGGTTAGTGGGGAGGAGCGTTGCGTGACGACACTAAAAACGGCTGTGTAGCAGACTAACAAATTGGCAGCGAGTTTTCAAAACAAAAAAGTGTTTATTGTCACATTAGCAGTGCCTGTATACTGTTTCAATAATCAGACGAACACTTTGTTGTGGAATTCCTCTAATACGACAGATAATGCACTTTTGCAGCGTTTATCTTTATCTTTTCTCGTACCAGCACCTTTAAATTTACTGGGTTTATTCTTCAGACATAGATGAGTGCAACGCTGCAAATAATAGCTGTCATGAAAATGCTTGGTGTAATAACACTCAGGGATCATTCACTTGCTCCTGTAAGCCAGGGTACGAAGGCGATGGATACAATTGTACAGGTAAAATTCTTTGGGTTTTTTCAAGTCCATTTAAAACAATTCTCGACAATTCGCCTTAGTTTGAGAGGTGACTGCTGACATGTTCTGAAATCAATGCGGAAAAGGGAATGTGTTTTAACCGTAACTGACTATATATGGAGGATATTACACGGTGGCGCGAAGATATGAATTTTATTTTTGAGTAGCAAAACAATATTTTACGAACGAGCTCAGCGAGTGAGTTAAATATTGTTTTTGCCACGAGAAAATAAAATTCATATCTTCAAGCCGCCGTGCAATGTTCTTTTTATTATATAGACAAAAAAACATCGATAAAATAATAGAGGGAAATTACCGAAATTGCGTCATCGATAAAACTCACGTGTGAGATAATGGAAAATACACCATTGGGGGCCCGGATGTAGTTTTTATGAATTTTACGGGTGGTATATTTCCCAGTAAAAAACTCGTGACTATATATCAGTGTATCACGTGGTTTTGATCATGCGCAGTAGCATGTTTATCCGTAGCCGTAGTCCGTAGTCGCCGTATCTTAAACTCCCTATTGTTTTGCTGCGGAGCCCGTAGCCCCAGATATTAAAGGGACTGGTTCACGATAATGCGCATGCGCGCCGTTTGTCTGTTTAGAATAAATTTATTGGGTCAACACTAAATTCGAAATCGCCACTACCGGTACAATCATTGAAAATCCTTCGTTTTATTCGGACATCCGTCGCTTTGGCTGGTCTAGTTATACTTCGGTAGTGGTGATTAACGTGTGGTTGTGTCGTTTGACTGGTTATGTTTTAAGAAGACGCAAAAAATAATGTTTTGATCATGGAGGTTGAGAAGAGCATCGTGGCCGTCCGGCAACAGGACGTTCTCAAGAGTCTCTGGAGATAGAGAAGCTTAGCCTATCGATCTGGTATGGTTCTAGGAGTAGTGTGTGGCATACGAAAAGAATACACGACACTTGAAAAGTGGTTAAAGGCATGAGTTCGTTCAACTTTGATTTGATTTTTGACTCCGACCTGTAGTTATACCGCAACAGGCCGCGCGATCTTCACCGATCTGGTACACTTGAAATGTTCCTTGTATCTTTGCTTTACGATCGTATATGTTTAAGAATTGATGTTTTTAAAATAAATTATTGCCTGAATATTCTGTTCATAATCTAGTTTCTTTATGTGTGCTACTCGATAACATTTGTTTTGCGGAACACTGACCCGATGCAACGCGAATGAATTTGTTTATTTGCTGATAAGCAATTGAAATTTATGCTCAATTAAGGATAATCTTTATACTCATACTGTTAAGGAAGCGATGGAATACAAACTTTAACGCTTGAACACAACTTTAATCCGCTCGATTTACAATGCACCGATTTACAACAGGTTGATGTACTACCCGCGAACCCGACTTACAACAAATCTACGAGCGACTAGCAAGGAAGTCACGTGACGTGTTATCTACATAATTTATTCTACTCTCACAGGTCCAGTCTCACGGGGCTTTTAATGACCCGAGTACGAGTACGACGATGGGCCGTAACATTCTCCCCACCTTGTCCTCCTTCGGGGAGGACAACTCTTTTCTTAGGCTTACGAATAGGTACACTTTTAACATTAACAGAGTTCGCTCGAGGCTTCTCCCCACCGTCAACAGGAACATCAGCTTCACGGGTAACTTGTGCGGCAGCTGCATCAATTTCCAATCTGTGTAAGCGTTGAACAGGCCTGTTGAATACACCTTTCTGTGCTTTCACGGTAGCCGTTCGCACGAGTCCGTCCTTACCAGGATGAACCTTTTCCACCCTGGCCATTGGCCACTTGGTACGCGATACATTATCATCTGAGACCGATACGATATCACCTTCTCGAATGGAGGGGTTTTCCTCTCGCCATTTACTTCTCACGGACAGAAGGTGCAGATATTCTCGTTGCCAACGTTTCCAATAGTGGTTGAGTAGTCTCTGTAGGTAAAGATACCTTTCGACAGTTCTTTTACTAGACTCCTCCAAGCTTTCTTCTTTACTCTCAGGTAACTGGTTAATCGGTCTACCAATTGCAAGATGAGCAGGTGTAACCGGCAAAGGGTCTCTGCAATCGTCGCTCACTGCCGTTAATGGTCGCGAGTTGATGATGCCTTCAATTCGAATTAATAATGTGTTCAACTCAGAAAAGGTGAGAAGTGCCTTTCCAAGCACTTTACGCAATGATTCAGTGATTGCTCTAAAAAATCGCTCCCACTATCCGCCTCGCCATGGTGAACGCTCGGTGATGAATTTCCACGTAATCCCTTTCGACGAGAGCTCAGAATTAATTCGATTTCGATCCAATGTATCCCACACCGTTCGACGTTGAGTACTAGGATCATACAATTTCTGGATTTCCTTGCTTGCAGCCTTAAAGGTTTTTGCGTTGTCGGACCACACTGTATGGCAAAGACCTCTGCGGCTTGTCATGCGACTAAAGGCTTGTAGGAACTCATCAGTGGTAAGGCTGTGTGTTAGTTCCAAGGGAATCATACGAGATGATGCGCATGTGAATAGACAAACGTACACTTTCTGTATGGTTGAACTTTCTTTTACATAGAGAGGTCCTGCGAAGTCAGTTCCAACATGCGCGAAAGCTGGTGAACATGAAACTCTCTCTTCCGGCAATGGGCCCATTTTCTGCGCGCAAGGTCCAACTCGCTGTTTTTGGCAAGCTACGCATCTTCTGATAACACGTTTGACTTCTCGTCTCCCTTGGGTCAGCCAAATTTTCTGTCTTAAGGTTGACAGTATGCTTTCTGGGCCCGCATGTAACATGATCTCGTGTAGGTCCAGTACCATCTTTACGACTTCGGGATGTCCGTGAGGCAATATTACTTGATGCTTGGTCTGTTCAAGTAGATCAGCAAACTGCAGTCGGCCACCAACTCTTATAACCTGATCCTCTCTGTCATAATACGGGTCTAGTTTGAGAAGGCGACTGTTCTTGGGAAGAGTTTGTCCGGACTTTAGCAACTGGTAATCTTCTTTATAGACCTCTTCCTGTACCCACTTACAACACTTAATCTCTGCCTTCTTCACTTCTTCTGCCGACAGTTCACTTTCAGAAGACTTACATTTAGTCTTGAACAACTTGACTGCTCTCAGTACATAAGCGGTTACTCGAATCAACTTTAACCATGTCCCGTAACGCGACATATCAATTAACGGCTCTCTAACGACTGCTGTACAACCATGAGCAATTTTCCTTTCCTCTTCGCATACCTCAGAGGGAACAGTACCACCTTGGGGCTGAACGGGTAAAGGTTTGTCACTCGAAGACAGCCACCGAGGTCCATTCCACCATAAGGTATTGGCAATCATATCATCACAGCTCAACCCACGCGTCAACAAATCTGCAGGATTCTCCTTACTAGCACAGTACCTCCAACACTCAGGATCCCACGTAGACTGTATTTCCGCCACTCGATTCGCCACAAATGGTTTCCAGCGAGAACTCTGACCTTTTACCCAATGCAGTGCCACCATACTATCAGTCCAACACACAACACTACTCACTTCCATAGGCAAAGTGTCTACAACAAACTTCAACAACCTGGCATTTACAACTGCTGCTAAAAGTTCCAGTCTGGGTAGTGACACTTTCTTTATAGGTGCAACTCCATATCTATTTGCAAGGCTTTGGCTTTGCGTCTGATCGCGTTAATCTCTTGAATTTCTACTTCACTCGAAGACTCCGCTGACTCAGCAAGATTCATTTCTTCCTTTGACTCTGGTTTGACAACATTTGATTTTGAATCGTCTACCAACCTTTCAATCAAGACCTTCTTTTTTCCAGTAGTTGGTAATCCCTTTTCTTGAAGCAGCTTTCGCAGCTGATCGACTGTAAGTTGCGATAAATCATCATTTTCGGTCTTTGGACTGGCGGCCATCTTATCGCCCACGTGGTGATGACCTTGCGAAGAATTACAAATTTACTGTTCAACTGTCACCTTGTATCCGGCTGTGAAGGACCATGTTAAGGAAGCGATGGAATACAAACTTGAACGCTTGAACACAACTTTAATCCGCTCGATTTACAATGCACCGATTTACAACAGGTTGATGTACTGCCCGCGAACCCGACTTACAACAAATCTACGAGCGACTAGCAAGGAAGTCACGTGACGTGTTATCTACATAATTTATTCTACTCTCACAGGTCCAGTCTCACGGGGCTTTTAATGACCCGAGTACGAGTACGACGATGGGCCGTAACACATACGTTGTGTGTTTTTGTCACCGGTCCGGCGCTATTTGTAGGTATTTCTGGGTTTATATAAGGCGAACTGAGAGAACAGTAATAAGATGTTTGCTTACAAATTTTGTTTGCCGATCGGTGACTGTTTTGTTAGCGTGGGTACGACCTCGTAAAAATACACGTTGGTAAATGTTTGTTTCAAAGCAGGACAGGGCTGTAAATCTTATTCTTATCGGCTGCATATGTATATCTGAGGAGTAGCAAAGAATAAAATTGAATTATGGGGATAAATAAAATCAAACCAAATGCCCGGAAATACTCTCGCGTCGCGAACAATTAATTTGAATTTTGTAAATTTACTTGCGTGCATCTAACTCGCTTCCGATTGGTTGAAAAACAATCAGCTACTGTCAGAACTCACACATGCGCATTATCGTGAACCAGTCCCTTTAAAATTCGGACATTCTTGTACAAAGATAGCGTCATACCGTGCTTTGTTTGTTGTTTTTTGAGAATCGGAACGAAGATAGTAAAAAAACCCAGTAAACTAGACTGAGGCTAAACATCTGGTTCTCATGTTTGTCTTCGTCAAATGTCCTCTGTACATGTCTGGCCAGGAGATATATTCGTAAGTCAGGAATTCAAAATCAAATAAAAACAAAGTCACTGTCTTGGACACGTTTGCTGGTTCTTCTTGATCTTCTCGTTGAAACTTCCTCCTGCTCACTCAGACTCAGTGGGCGTCATTGTATCATCCTCGTCTAATGCCAAGAGCATTGTTTTTTCATACCACTATTCATGAACTCTTACGGTCCCCTCTTAACAACATAGGCAATGTCATAGTCTAGAATTCCTTGCGATACTTCACTGACGTTCTCAATACCAGAATCCGTGAAATCAAAGGGTGAGAAGATCCTCTGAGAACCAGAGGCATTTGCACCTTATATTAAACGCATCCATTGATCATGATTCATAAATAACTCTAGATAACTGTGAAAAGCAAATAAGCTCTCTGTTAACATAACGAAAACTAATTATATCATTTTTGCAGCAAGGCAAAAACCAGTCGGCTTCCCAATAAATCCTGTCTTGTACGATGAGGTTTTATTAAAACAAGTAAAGGTAGTTAAATTTTTAGGGGTTTTTATCGACGAGCATCTAACGTGGAAGCCGCATATTACTTATATATGTAAGAAAATTTCAAAATCTATTGGCGTCATGTTTAGGTCTCGTTTCTTTCTTTCTGAAACAACAAAAAAGTCTCTTTATTATACCTTAATTTATCCTTATTTAACATATTGTACCACAGTTTGGTCCTCCACTTATGTAACAAACCTTAATAGAATTTTTCTTCTACAAAAGCGAGCAGTACGAATTATTACAAATGCAGATTTTCGCGCGCACTCTGAACCATTATTTTTCCGTTTAAAGATTTTGGACATATACAACATTAATTCATTCTATACTGCACAATTTATGTTTTCATATTATCATCAATTACTGCCACCGCTTTTTTCGAACCTTTTTGTTACTAGTAGCAATATTCATAATTATAATACTAGAAGTTCCTCGCATTTTCGTTCTCATGCCTGCCGAACTAACACCAAACAATTTTCTATTTTGTTCCAAGGCCCTAAAATTTGGAATTCTTTACCAAACTCAGTCACTTCGATTTTTACATTGCAATCGTTTAAAACGAAAGTTTTTGATTTTCTACTATATCGATAATGCGTCTTGTACTGTCCGTTGTTGTGTGTTGTTATAGTTCTACTGCTTAATATTATTGTAACGAGGGGGCCTCCTCGTACAAGCCTTGTGGTTTTCTGAGGTCCCCTCGCCACATCTTTGTATAATGTAATGCTTGTGTAATCTTTATTGTGGGAAAATAATAAATAAATAAATAAATGAAACACGAGTAGAGTGGAGGAAAACTTATAAAAACAGCGTTTAGAAAATAGAAATTGCTGTATTTCCTCAATCCTAGGATTTGCTTTTGGATTAGAGCAAAAAAGCATAGCGGAGCCTGGACCCCTTGATCAATTTCTCGGGAGCCCTGAAGCCCTGTTTATTTTGGTTCGGAGCCCCGGAGCTCCGGTATTTTGAGTCCGGAGCCCCGGAGCCCAAAACCCCTTTGGGACCCTGATAAAAGAAATAATTATATTATACTGGTGGCTATATTGTCTACCTGTTTGTTCAGGTAGAATAAATTTAATTTTTACTAAAATTATCTTTCAGACTCAGACGAATGCCTGAACAACTCTCACAATTGCAGTGAAAATGCCACCTGTACCAACACCGAAGGGTCCTTCAACTGTAGTTGCAAACCAGGGTACATTGGAAATGGATACAACTGTTCAGGTTGGTTCTTGGAATTCCCGTCTCGCTTTCCGTTAGTTTTGAGACTTCTGGTTCAGCACAATCGGGGTTAACGTCCAGCAATGAACTTTTATAAATTGAAGTAAATTGTAGGAAATTGTTACTCGCTCTTTCATGATAATTTCATTTATTTATTCAAATATTATTTACTCACTTATTCAAATCTGACATCTCAGTCGTCACGTGTTGTGGATAACGACTCAGAGCTCATCTCATCTCTATATTTGCACAACGCGGAAAACCAAGAGGGAGTAACTTTTAATCCCCTATTCTGTATTACGATGGGAGTATAAGATAAGATGGTTGACCGAGATAAACGGTATCCATTTATGATCGCAATTCTTAGAAAAAGAGAGATCTGGCCGACAGCTTTTTCATTTCTGAGAAGGTGGCTTAGTGGGTGGAAAAATTCTGATTTCAGTCACACAACAAACCAGTTACATTTCGACAAACAGCTCTTGCACAATTTTACGTTGGATAGGATTATGATTGATAATACGACTAATATGCCTGCCAGGTCAGGTTGTGGACTGATAAATGACGAAGCTCTTCTTGGCGGGTATGAATGAAGACACTACATCAGAACGTATTAACTATTAACACAGATCACGACATTATTAAGAGGCTGTCTCAGTAAAAACCGCCCACTCAATTTCGCGTGAAAAATAATTTTGCCTGAAACTCTGGCGAGTGAAAGGCTTTATCGAGACTATAACTAAAATAGGTTTGCTTTGATTCACAATAATTTTCTGGCCGCGCTGGAGTGGGGGGCGGGGGAGGGGGCACCGAGTATTTTGTCCCGCCACAGCCATTTTGCACGTCTTGAGAACTGAAAATTTGGCATTTTTGCGGCGCTTTTCAATGTTTGATTTGCACCATCTCTAGTTTTTCCTGAAAGTAATAGTTATCCGCTAAATTTAGGTGGAAAGACGAAATCAAGCAAAATATGACCCCAAATAATTGCCTTGGAGTGAAAGGCCAAAAATGGCCCTGTTTTAAAAGCTTATTCCTGACGTTTGGGACATAGTTGAAAGCTCTAGACTAAATAGACGCAAAGATAGACCATCTGTTATTAATAATATACAAAACCCCATGTACGTTTTCAGTATTTGAAAAGTTATGACCGTTTGTATCAGTGCGTATGAGAGCTAACACAATATTTTCAGGCTTAGCCTAACGGAGATATCTCCTGCAGATTTTGTCGGTTGTCGGTTAAAATTCAGTTACTTTGTCGGTAGTCGGTTAAAATTTTCGATCTTTGTCGGTAGTCAGTTAAACTTTTTGATTTTTGTCGGTTGTTGAAAAATCTCGGTTAATAAGTAAAAATGCTTGTTAATTATTAATATTTTTTATGTATTTCACCCAGTTTCAAGACTTCGTTCCCTAAGGAAACAGTAAAACTTGTAAGAATGTATCATTTGATTGCACTTTAACTTCATTATCTCTTGTTTATTTATGCAACATGATCGTTTATTTCACCATTGTTTGCCAAATGAATATCATGAGCACTCTGATAAATCACCAAACCTTTTGTTGTAAATGCGAAGTTGGTTACCCTGTCGACTACAGGGCACAGTAGCGTTTTGGATTCTTAAATTATTCTTAGGGAAAAACTGCAAGGGGTGACAGGCTGCACATCTATACTTTTAATGTTTTGGCTCTAACAAGCATGTCCTCTGCCATATTTTCCTTTCTCAAAGAAATAACACTTTAACCCTCGGACGTACAAGGGGTGGGGGGGGTGTGGATGCCACCCCCCTTAGGTTTTTCTGGGATTTTTCCAAGAGGATAAAGCATCAGCACCTAACGTTTTCAGTAGATGGTCGTTTATCCCTCGCACGCATTTTGAGACAAGTTCAGTGATGATCAGTTTCTATGGTTACGAGGTATGTTGGTATGACGTAATAAGTAGCAGGTGTACAAGCCATTTTGAGAGAAAATGTATGTTTTTCCAACTTTTTTCAACAATAAAAGTAAATCTTGTGGCTAAAATCATGCAAAGTGCTCATTTCTGTGTTATTATTCACGTCAAGCAATTACCATTTCACGCTGTTTTAACCTGATTTCTAATTCTTGGTAAAATCCAAGATAACGGCCAAGGTGGCGACCATTGTCGGTGACGTCACAGGCCTCCAGCAGCGCCACCATTCATAAAATATACCTCATCTTGTTAAGAAGATCAAAGGCTTTTCAGTGAAGGCAAAATCGCTTCGAAATACTGCAACATATCAAAAACTCTGAGGAGGGGCAGTGGCGAGTCCAGGGGAGGGCCCCCCTTATTTTTCGACCAAAATGAGGCCCCATGGGCCGAAAAAAGTTTTTTTGCAGACCGCTCCCCCCCCCTTATCTCAGGGTCTGGATGACCGCCCCCAACCCCCACCCCCCACCCCCCTTATCTGAAGGGGATCTGGATGCACCACTGAGGGGTTCCATCTACCCTCTTCTTGTACCATGGTGGGGGATATGATTTTGCGTGTAGGTCCGAGGGTTAAGTGGTTCTTTAAAACTTTGGCAAGGTAGTGGTTGGTTTTGTATGAGATTACACTTATTCATTAAAGCTTCTTTTATAATAGACACTAAGGGCTTGTATTGTGTCACGAAAGGCAATATTTCTTTTTCTTCCTTGTTGTTTTGTTTCAGGAGCGCTGCTTTCCTTCTGTGAGTTTTACTTCTAATAACAATTTGTCTTTCAAAATTGTGTGGCTAGCCTCTGTCCATCTACCGCTTTTTGAAATCTTAAATACTTCCTTAGAGGAGTTTGTTCGTAGGATTCTGAAGGCTTCTTGTTCGTCAAATCCATTTTAACAATTGGTGGGTGATAAGAGGTGAAAATGTATATACTGGATGGTGTCCTTTTAAAATGCGTCTTTACGTCAATGATATAGCTTTTTCGCATTTTTCGTTCAATGTTGTGCCTTGGTATCCAACCGGGTCTTAAAGGATTGTCTCAGTGTCAGATATTTCGGTCGTAAATTTCACAGCCAGTAGAGCAGTAGGGTGAAGTAAGTTTACTTGTTCCGTGAATTTGAAGAAATCTACCATGTCTGGTTTACTTATGACCCATAGGGAAAAAATACATCTATGAAGCGTTTTTAAAGACGGCTTTGCTTAAACTTTGTGTTTCAATATATGCGGCCATGAAAATCTTGGAAAGGAAACTGCTGTTTGTGCTCACCGCAGTATGGTTTTTTACTGATAATGCTTTCCATTAAACTGGAAAGAACCGAAAGAACTTTCGGACCGAAACAAGAAACGTTCAGTTTTTTCGCCTTTGTCTTTTTAATAAGATTTATAAAGTCGGTAGCATCTTTAAGGTGTGGCTTTTGTGATTATGATATTGGTTATAGTATTGTACCCGTATCAACAAAAGAGAAATTTCTTGCTGTTAGACCATCTGATGAGTCATAAATTTAAAGAGGTTACTTCCTAACGGCTAGAAAAAAAATGCAAAATGCTCTTTTTTCTGAAAACAAATATTGATAATGTCAGCCCATGTCGGTAGTCGGTTAATATTTTTCCTGTCGGTAGTCGGTAATTTTTTACTCGCTTTGTCGGTAGTCAGTTATATTTTCCGCCTCTTGTCGCTAGTCGCTTAACCCCATTCACACCCTCATACTTGTCTCCGAACAATATTGGGGGGGCAGGACCAATAAAACCCTATTTAGTAAGAATCATGGCTTCAGTTTAGGCTGGATGCTCAACTTAGACCTAAGGCTCCAGAGTCTTAATTCATCAAAGACTTTGTTCAATTTAAGACAGACCTCATCAAAGCTTTTCCCTATACAATATATTGTAGTGTCATCTGCATACATAAGTACTTTTCCAAGTGTGATAGCATCAGGTAGGTCGTTTACATAAATAGAGTATAGTCTTGGTCCGAGCATAGAACCCTGAGGAATTCCATACTGAACCAAAGTCAAGTCGGATATGTAGCCATTCAACAGGGTGCATTGACACCTGTCGTTCAAGTAATTCATCATACATTCATGGAGGTTTCCAAAAATACCTACAGCTTGTAACTTGAGTGAAAGGATGTTGTGTGAGAGACTGTCGAAAGCCTTTCTAAAGTCTACAAATATTGTTCCTACAGTCAAGCCTTTATCCAATTCCATCTTCCATCTGTCAGTCAATGACAAGAGCATTCCTTCCGCAGAGAGGCCTTTTGCAAAGCCCCATTGTGCTGGATTTTTTTTAAGGAGTGTTTACTTAGATGATCGTCTAATATATCACAAACTTGGTGCTCCAGTATTTTACTAGGGATGCTAAGTAAGGAAATAGGCCTATAGCAAGGAAATAGTAAGGAAATAGTAAGGACATAGGCCTTATCATAATTTGGCATTCACCAGTCTCTCCAACATTGCTCCGTTAGAGAGACTATGGATAATTGGACAACCCCGAAATATAATTTTAAGGAACACACGCGCCACGATAGTCCTTGGTGGCAGCCAATTTACACGTTGCATTCCTCTGTCTAAAAGAGAGGCCAAATAAAAAAATCAGGCCGTTTTTTTGTGTTCGACAAGTTTAGTTTACAAGTAAATCCTGGCGACGAATCTGGTGGCGTGTAAACCAGTCTTTTAAACATACTTTTTCTCATCACGTCTCGGGTAAACAGTACTATGAGGCCCCTTTTTTTAATCGTAAAGACCTCGGACAGAATTTGCTCTTTTTTTGCCCTATTTAAGCCTATAATTCTGCAGTTTTTCACAATTTTGCAAGACAATTTGCACTCATTCATTCATATCCACGACGATCAAAACACGCGCTTCCTGTGCACAACAAATTATAGCATTGAATTATAAAACGTTTTCATGAAGAGAATTCCATAATGCCGGGACTTTTCAGTTAGAAAAATCTGGTCCTATGTGATACGCAGGGTAATAATTATGGGCTTTTAGTGAAAACGATAGAAAAATTCCCAAAATCACTTTTCGGCCAGCCGGACGGGCTCTCACTTTTGACAGGCACCAAATTTGCAGTGCGATTAATAGAGTTACCATTTACGCTTCAACATGATAGAAAAATTGTTATGTTTAGGTTTTATTTCCCTTTATTTATTAAACTGTGTATGGTTTTAATATGTGTAATCTTTAAAAGCGAGTGATATTTACGCGCGGCGTTTTGAGTATTCCTGCATGCGATGTTTATGTTCGACTGGAAACAACCGGTGCAGCGATAAAAATTGCGAGAGGGACTACTAACAATCAATAAAATAAATATAAATTCGGTGAAACTTGTACAGAGACAATAATTTCTATTCACGAAGAGAAGTATGAAAATCATGAGTCAGGTAAGCATAAGCTTATTTATGTTTTAAGCCGGCTTCCCGGTGTTTGCTCTATTTCAAGATGAACTCGAGGCAAGAAAATCGCTCAGAGCTTTCTGTTTACAGCCAAATCATAACTCAATAATCTTTGGAACCTTTTCTTTCAATTTGCGGTCAAAAAATGTCTAAAGGCTCTTTAAACCTGATACTATTGTAGGTTAGGTCATTGCTCGTGTATAAACTTAAGCCGCATAAACCATATGCTCGACTTCAGGAAACCGAAAACTAAAAAAAAAAATCAAAGACAATAATTGCTCAGGATTACCAGTCGAGATGCTGCTTCTGAAGGTCATCAAGTGCTCCAGAATCGCTTGAGACTTTTCAACCCTTTTACGCCTCAAGCAAGGGCAAGTGAGTAAGGTCATTTTTGAAAACAATGCCATACGAAATCGGATTTCCAATAACTTTGACAAGCGGTGCATTTGTCAACAAAAAGTGCAATAAACAAACTAGCCATGAATTAGAGAACAATCTTGATAGCAGCTGTATTTCATTTTGTACACCAGGTAGAAAAAGACAGTTTAAAACATCATAAGACGACACAAATCTCTGTCAGCTCCATATATCAGTGAGCAAGTTTCCAGACGCTGCATAAATTTTCTGCATAAAAACTCGCCTGTCAAATTTTGACCAATCAGAACATGAAAATTGGACGTAGAGCGTGATCAACGCGTGACAGTGAGAAAAGTCAAAAGCGATTGCCTTCCTTGCATGTAAATGTAAAAAGCCGGTTGAATTTTCGCGTCCGAGGTCAGATCGAAATCAAAATTTTAAAAGTGCGGCTCATGAACAAGACTTATTTCATATGCATTTTATAAAAATTGCACTTGAGCTTGCGATCATTTGAAAAGTAGCAACTTGCCAGCGGATACCTTCAAAAAACACTGGAACTCAGTGGGTCGATACCTGAGCCCGCGATACGGTCAGGTGATACCGGTCAGCAGAAACACTATTTTGACAGCTGTCAATTAATCAAAACATGGATGTACAATATCAGGTTGCAGCCTCCTAAACTAGCTGGAAAGTGTGAGATTAAACATTGGTATGCCTGTGGTGCCGACGGACGGAAGGTCGGGTGGTCGGTGTACGGTCACGTGATTGCCGAATTTTCTAGGATGGATAGGTTTTCTAAACTGTGGGGCTCCGAATTGAGCCCGTGATCAAGTAAAATATCAGCGCAAAACTTTAAACACTACGTGACCTCAATGGATAGAAAAATGAGCCCGTGATACACTCAGGTGATGATGGTCAGCGTATACTCTAGTTTGACAGCCCTCAATTAACTCCCATTAGAATGGCGAATATCGAATTAACAGACTACGAGTGTGACTAAGACATATCCGTCCGGCATGTAGTGGAAAATGTCAGATCGTGTGCCTGAGCGAACCTGAGCCCACGTTATTAGTTTTCTGAGAGTGGTCTGCACATGTCCCATTTTGACAGCTGTCAATTGACCTTAATCTGGCTTGCCAATATAACTTTAAACGACTGCCCGGCGTAGTTTCGTTTTTATGTTGAATTGGTAAGTGTGACATATTATATCAGCTTATATGTAGGGGCAAAGCGACTCGTCTTTCATCTGAGCCCGCGAGAGGGTCAAGTGATAATTGTCAGCGGATATCTGATTTTGACAGCTGTCAATCTAATCGTACTCATACGGATGGCTTACATAACTGAAAGGCTAGTCAAGTTGTGCAAGATCTATTTGACATTTGACATCGGCTTGCATGAAGTGTGTGTACGGGTGGGCGGGCGGGCGGGCGTACGCTACGTCATAACCAAATTTTCTCGGATGGATAGTTTACCAAATTTTCTTACCCATGGTGCTCCGCTGCGCGCGCGCGAAGCGCGAGAGAGCTGCGCTAAGACTGCCAAAAGTGAAGTTAATTTTTAATTCTTATAAAACAACGATTAACAAACTGGCCTTCACGTTTGACCAAATTTAAATGAATAGACTAACTTCTAAGCTAAACCCAACAGACGCAACGGATGAGTGTCACCCGCACATTTTTAAGTCGGATTCTTTGAAGGTGCCAAAGTTGCTTTTTAAATACCATTATTGCGCAGGCGAAAATCTAATCGTCTGTTCACGAACAAATCTAACGACAAACTGCCTCATCTGGCCGTGTCTGTACGAGAAAACCCTCGTAAAAATAAATTGGATCGAAATGAACAAATCAGAATAAGGCTGCGTTTCCTAAGAGGTCCTCATATTTGACATAAAATAATGTAATGTACTTTTTTTGTAAAAGGCAGACCTGGTTTACTAAAGTAAAGATCTAATCAGCCAAACAAGTGGGGGGGAGGGCTAAAGCCCCCCCCAGCCCCACCCCCTGCTCGGTCTCTGAAATGTGCTTTAGAAACTGCTGGTATGCGGCCATTTTTGAATCCCATGCTAACAGTCCGAAGCTCAAAACAGGTGAAACTGTGTCACGTTTCGAGCTAAATAGCTTGGTAAAAAAACCATCCAGAGGTGAAAGTTTACTCGGGAATCAGAAAATCAACTGGGAAGGTCTCATTTTGGATCAGAAAATTGAGATTTCAGGGCTACAACATCGAATAAACCTTCTATTCAACTGACTCTGCAAGGTCAAATGCAGGTTGACACGTAAACCGGAAATGTTGAGACGCGGAAATATGGAAAACCGGAAATGCAGAAATGCGGATCATCCGGAAATCAGAAGCTGAAGGCAATCCCAACAATTAGGGACAGCTGCATTCGTTTAGGGCTTCTTTTCGACGTTTTCAAGACGTGCAAAATGGCTGTGGCGGGACAAAATACTCGGCGCCCCCCTGCGCTGCCAGAAAATTATTGTGAATCAAAGCAAACCTATTTTAGTTATAGTCTCGATAAAGCCTTTCACTCGCCAGAGTTTCAGGCAAAATTATTTTTCACGCGAAATTGAGTGGGCGGTTTTTACTGAGACAGCCTCTTCACACGGGGGAACTGATTGTATTTGTAGAGTTCGTACGAGAAAAGCTGAATCACGAGATCATTAAAAATTCAGAAGCATGTACAATGTAACTCTGTCCCAAAACAAAAACGAATAATTATACAAAACTGGCAGTGCTCGAGGTGATGCATGGTTGGAACGCATATCAGCCAATAATCTACTTAATTCCCTTAGAAAATATTAATGTCTGTAGTCTTTTAAAGACACTATTACTGCGATGTCCAATAGTCTTTGGACTACCCTAAAAAGGTTTGGTATTAATCTACACTTTCGTCAATCCCTTTACTACATCCTTCCGTCCACCTGGTCCACGATTATCCCATAAAAATGTATGCAGTTTTATCTCGCGTTCCAGTAAGAGAACACCTAATCAGTTCGATCTGCTAAGGTATATCCTTTGTTCAGCGTTCCTTAGCTGAACCGTGCTATTACTCACTTTCACGCTCTCGTTCATTTGGAGGTTGTCAGGTGGCTTTGCTGCTATTCCGGCATGTTTGCTACAGAGTTAATGGTATTCTTTCTGTTTTGACAGTTTTTCTTTTTTAATGTTGTTTTCCCCCTTTCTCTTTGTTCATTATCACTCCAATATGCATGCATCATGCAGGCATGTTTTTTTTTTTAAAGAAAGATTAGTCATCCATCCATGTAGCCATCCATTCATTTACTTTTTCACCTATCTACCTTTCTGTCTAATCTACGTGCAGGACATGAGAAAAATGAGACTGTTGCTGTGGTATGCAGAGAATAGATTCACTGATTCTCATCCAAAATAACCTTTTTGTATGATCCATGTGTTTTCATTTTCAGAATTTTCAATAAATTCGACAATATTACAGGGAAATCAGTATTATCTCCGACATCTTCACCGTTTTCTTGCTGGCGCTCCTGCGGTTCGGGAGGATTCTTCCTGGCTTCTTTGCTACCGTGCTACCTCACATGATTGGAAAGCCGATACCTTCCATCGTAGATGCGACGGTAACAAAAATACTGTGACCATCGTACAGAAAGACCAATATGTCTTTGGAGGATACACTGACATTCCTTGGGGTAAGATTGATATTTAACAATTAATGAATGAGGCTGAGTATCTTATGAAGAATTATGGATATTGAGGAGGGTGTTATCCTTCGAGGCCGTAGGCTGAGGCGGATAACACCCTCCGAGATCTCCATAATTCTTCTTATTACACGGCTGAGTCTGTTTTCGCCATGCGATTGGTCAATTTGCGTAACTTGCTATATGGACCAAAATTTTTAAAGAAAATGCTCCTTTCGAAGGTCTAAATCTCTTTACCTCGGAAAAAATGTCTAAATAAAGTTATAAGACGCCTGTCAACCTTGAGGACTTGAATGCTGACTTTGGCCTGCAACATTTTAAACTGTGTTTATTTGTGAACGAAGGCGATGGAGAAACGAACTCGTAATCTTATCAAAGACGATTCTAGTCAGTGTTTGAAAATTTTATCGTAGTACACAATTAAGACGACGAAAATCGACTGGCAGAGATTCGAGTTGTTGTGCCTAAGAGAAAATGAGTAATTCCTTCAACAAATATGATAACAAACATACCTGCACGAGATCATCTTGACTAGCTTCTTTGTCACTTGCAGTGAGTAGTAGGGCTTCAGCAAACTTAACCCCGTTGGTGGATTCCCTTTGGATTCCCTCGCAGAAAGTGGATTCCCTTAATTAATAGGCATATGGTTTAGTCAATGACGTCACCTATTGTTATAACCTGGGAAAAAGTGCCTTTCTCCATACTAATTAAGTGCCTAGTCAGTGTCTTCCTGCATACTAATTTGGGTTTCCTGCATACTAATTAAGTGTCTTCCTCCATATATAATGAAGTGGATAGGTTTACTAATGAGCGTCACTCTACTACAATAGGCTTGCCTAGACTTGCCCGTGAAGTAACTTGAGCTCGGTTTTCGGACAGTCTATTAAAAGGAAAATAGGAATAAGAGAAGCGATCGCCTAGCAACGCGAGAAACGGCTTCCTATATTTTATTTAGCGCTAAAACTCAGATATATAAACAAAACACATGTGCACAAAGTGGAGTTGAAAAGTCTTTATTTCCGTTTAGTTTATGTCTTCTTATTGAGCTCTAAAACTCGGATATATATAAACAAAATACAGAAAGTAGAACTGAAAACTCTATTTCAATTTTGTCTGACGTTTCCTCCGTTCTATCTCAGGAAATGAAAAACTATTAAAGTCTTGTCGTTTTCACGCACGGTTAATCAGTTAATTATGCGAGTTCACAAGCCCAAAGCTGAATACAAATTAGCTCTACAGCTAGACCCCAGGGAGCAACCTTGACGTATTATTATAAAACAAATAACTTAACAAGCATCAATTAAAACACGCGACTCATAACTGCTAGCAATAAAAACACAGGAGAGATATCGTTTTAAAAAAATTTATTAAAAAACAATGACAAAAAGAGTCAAATACACAGCGATTTGTAAAGAATGGAAATTAATTAATTCCTTCTTCTTCGCCCATGGAGTACTTGTAAGGTTTGAATTTCTTATGCCGACGTTTCTTCAGCTGTTTGCCATGAGATTTATGATCATCCAAATAATTTAGAAATTGAATCCGACGCCTTTTGCGCTTCGGGCCTTGTTGTGATGGGGTTTCTACTGTGGGAGGAGGGGTCAGGAAAGCAGAATTAAAGGGTGGTGGAGGGGTGAGGCTTTCTTTGTCAGCTTTTTGAGAGATAGCCGCTTGTGTTAATACAGGTGTTACATTAAAGGGGTTGAGGGGAGTCGAGAATGCTGTCGTTGCTGTCGAAGAATCTTGTGTCCTTGATGTTAAGTCTGGAACAGTACTGATTATTTCTTCCGGACGTGTTCTTGTATTCAATTGTTCTTTAAAAGCCAGGTATCTGTTTTGCAACTGAACGTATCGCTTAGCTTTTTGATCTTCCCGAAGATCGTTTCGAGAAAGCACGTCATCCATGTCGCCCTGTATTTCTTGCATAGCTGGAAGAAGTGGGACAGGCGAAAGAGTTTGCTGCTTCAGATATTTTAGGAGCTCTTGAGGAATATTTTCTTGAAACCCTGCTTGGTTAAAGCCTTCTTCACTGGGCAGGACGTTTGTTCGCAACCGACAATTATCTTGGGTAGTAGTTTTCAGATCAATCAGAAGGTAACCAAAAGGTCTTTTTACAGCCTCTTCGTACTTATTTAAAAAGAAATCAGTCTGCCCAGGATACATTTGCTTCGCCAGGGTCAAGATTTGCAATTTGTCTCGTGGATTCTTGAATATCACCAGATAATGGCTGTTCAGGCTTATGCTGCGGCTACCTTTCCCCTGATGAAATAGATTCTGCACGATATAAATCACGCTCAGATTGCGATGATGAGAACCACGAGTAAAGAGGTTCACAATTCGCTTGTCTTTACTGGCGTCAATCATCTGATCATCAAACACGATCAAATTCCGTTTGTTCACATCAAAATAGGAATCTTGCTCCAAAGCCGTAGGAATTCCCTTAACGAATTCAACATTTGTGTATACGCAGGCTGCCATTGTGAATAACACCAAACGATCCTCTCCGGGGGAGGGTAAATGGTCTCTGAAGCTTGTTGCAATAGCGATCGAACCCAGGCCGTTTTTCCGGACCCGGTCATTCCGGCAATCATGGAGGTGAAAGGATGCTCGAAGCGAAACCGCTGACATTTCTGTGAAAATATTGGAACTGCTTGAAATGGGGTGAGACCAGCATTGCGGTGTTTAGACATCACGTGCCTTTGCATACTATCTTTTCTACTAAAGGATTTTTCGCAGACAGAACAGAACCAACTCATGTCAACTCCTCAGGAGCAAAATGTAGACTGAGAAGGAGGTAGAATGTTACGCATTTATATAGTTTTTCAGACCACAAGATTCTATTGTTTTCCTCACCCAAGACCACCACTACCACCACCACCACATTTCTATTGTTTTCTTTCCTCCACCACCGCCACCACATTTCTATTGTTTTCCCTCCACCACCGCCACCGCCACCACATTTCTATTGTTTTCCCACCACCACCACCACCATCACCACCACCGCCACCACATTTCTATAGAAATTGGTTTCCAACGTCTTCGCGTTTTTGTGTGTAACTGCTCTGCAATCTTGACATCGAAGAAAGCCCCCTTTCATGTAATGTCTCCCCTCGGGAATCTGGTGATCGCATATAGGACAAATCTTGTAGTAATCGTGCCAAAGGCATTTAGGACATTTCATGATCAATGTCCCGTACACATTAGAGTTCTCGCAGTGTTCACAGGGACTTTTGGAGTGAAAGGTGGTGGACGTTTCAGGGTTACTACTTTCTATCTCCTGACTGTCGTTTTCAGTGTCGTTGTCGCTCTCTTGGATGCCTTCCGCTTCAGCGCCATTCTCAGAAGCCACTTCCTCCTCTTCCTCCTGATTTTCAATATCCGATGAACTCTCCTCATTATTACTCTCGTTATCAGAAGAATTTTCTACATTTTGGTAGCCTTTTTCCTTTTCTATTAAATCACTTAACAACGTTTTGTTCTTGATTAAACCTTTATCGATTCCTAACTCTGCAAGTCCATCTAGAAACGTATTCAGCGCACGAGGTTTGGTAACCTCATTGTTATAAGGGAGTAACACATACTCAACTAGCTCAGCGATGTTTGTGACGGGAATAGTGCGTCTATTTCGAAGTAATTGTCTGCTGGGGGTCCAGAAAAGAATATCTTTGGACGCAGCCATACTACGCAGCAAATCAGAAGCACGCTTTTCCGGCACTGCTCGGGAAAGATGACTCAAAACATCTTTTATTCTCGGTTCTTCTTTTATTCTTGGTTCTTCATCCTCGCTTTCATCACCAGAACTTTCGCTTTCTTCATGTTCACTCTCTTGTTCTTCTTCTTCTTCAACCAAATCTATCTTTCTTTTCATTTTGATGAGTACTCGTGACAGACTTAGCTTCGAATGAGCAACCTAGCGATGTGTCACCTCTTTTATAGGATTAGAAATCCTAAGCTTGAAACGACGGGGGCTAATACATCTTCAATAAAACCACTACCCTCTTGAACAAGGACTCGCTTCTTTGTTTTGAAAGGGACATTTGTACTGGCCAGGTTAAGTAAAGCATCCTTATATGGCAGCAATACCCGCTTATTTTCTTCGGAGATGGGAATGTGTCCCATGAGTAAATTGTATAAGACTTGGACTAGTGCATGAAGTTGCTGTGGTGTAGCTGTCTTTAAAAGAAACTGGCGCTGATAAGCAGGGCAAGCAGCTAACAGCTGAAGAAAACCACGATTGTTGTTCACTACACGAGACATTGCTACAAAATGAACTAAGAATGGCAGTTGGTGGTCTTTTATAGAATCTGGTGGAAGGAAAAACAATAGAAATGTGGTGGCGGTGGAGGTGGTGGTGGCGGGAAAACAATAGAAATGTGGTGGCGGTGGTGGTGGCGGTGGTAGTGGTGGTGGGAAAACAATAGAAATGTGGTGGCCGTGGTGGTGGTGGAGGGAAAACAATAGAAATGTGGTGGCGGTGGTGGTGATGGTGGTGGTGGTGGTGGGAAAACAATAGAAATGTGGTGGCGGTCGCGGTGGTGGAGGGAAAACAATAGAAATGTGGTGACGGTGGTGGAGGAAAGAAAACAATAGAAATGTGGTGGTGGTGGTAGTGGTGGTCTTGGGTGAGGAAAACAATAGAATCTTGTGGTCTGAAAAACTATATAAATGCGTAACATTCTACCTCCTTCTCAGTCTACATTTTGCTCCTGAGGAGTTGACATGAGTTGGTTCTGTTCTGTCTGCGAAAAATCCTTTAGTAGAAAAGATAGTATGCAAAGGCACGTGATGTCTAAACACCGCAATGCTGGTCTCACCCCATTTCAAGCAGTTCCAATATTTTCACAGAAATGTCAGCGGTTTCGCTTCGAGCATCCTTTCACCTCCATGATTGCCGGAATGACCGGGTCCGGAAAAACGGCCTGGGTTCGATCGCTATTGCAACAAGCTTCAGAGACCATTTACCCTCCCCCGGAGAGGATCGTTTGGTGTTATTCACAATGGCAGCCTGCGTATACACAAATGTTGAATTCGTTAAGGGAATTCCTACGGCTTTGGAGCAAGATTCCTATTTTGATGTGAACAAACGGAATTTGATCGTGTTTGATGATCAGATGATTGACGCCAGTAAAGACAAGCGAATTGTGAACCTCTTTACTCGTGGTTCTCATCATCGCAATCTGAGCGTGATTTATATCGTGCAGAATCTATTTCATCAGGGGAAAGGTAGCCGCAGCATAAGCCTGAACAGCCATTATCTGGTGTTATTCAAGAATCCACGAGACAAATTGCAAATCTTGACTCTGGCGAAGCAAATGTATCCTGGGCAGACTGATTTCTTTTTAAATAAGTACGAAGAGGCTGTAAAAAGACCTTTTGGTTATCTTCTGATTGATCTGAAAACTACTACCCAAGATAATTGTTGGTTGCGAACAAACGTCCTGCCCAGTGAAGAAGGCTTTAACCAAGCAGGGTTTCAAGAAAATATTCCTCAAGAGCTCCTAAAATATCTGAAGCAGCAAACTCTTTCGCCTGTCCCACTTCTTCCAGCTATGCAAGAAATACAGGGCGACATGGATGACGTGCTTTCTCGAAACGATCTTCGGGACGATCAAAAAGCTAAGCGATACGTTCAGTTGCAAAACAGATACCTGGCTTTTAAAGAACAATTGAATACAAGAACACGTCCGGAAGAAATAATCAGTACTGTTCCAGACTTAACATCAAGGACACAAGATTCTTCGACAGCAACGACAGCATTCTCGACTCCCCTCAACCCCTTTAATGTAACACCTGTATTAACACAAGCGGCTATCTCTCAAAAAGCTGACAAAGAAAGCCTCACCCCTCCACCACCCTTTAATTCTGCTTTCCTGACCCCTCCTCCCACAGTAGAAACCCCATCACAACAAGGCCCGAAGCGCAAAAGGCGTCGGATTCAATTTCTAAATTATTTGGATGATCATAAATCTCATGGCAAACAGCTGAAGAAACGTCGGCATAAGACATTCAAACCTTACAAGTACTCCATGGGCGAAGAAGAAGGAATTAATTAATTTCCATTCTTTACAAATCGCTGTGTATTTGACTCTTTTTGTCATTGTTTTTTAATAAATTTTTTTAAAACGATATCTCTCCTGTGTTTTTATTGCTAGCAGTTATGAGTCGCGTGTTTTAATTGATGCTTGTTAAGTTATTTGTTTTATAATAATACGTCAAGGTTGCTCCCTGGGGTCTAGCTGTAGAGCTAATTTGTATTCAGCTTTGGGCTTGTGAACTCGCATAATTAACTGATTAACCGTGCGTGAAAATAACAAGACTTTAATAGTTTTTCATTTCCTCGAGATAGAACGGAGAAAACGTCAGACAAAATTGAAATAGGGTTTTCAGTTCTACTTTGTGTATTTTGTTTATATATATCCGAGTTTTAGAGCTCAATAAGAAGACATAAACTAAACGGAAATAAAGACTTTTCAACTCCACTTTGTGCACATGTGTTTTGTTTATATATCTGAGTTTTAGCGCTAAATAAAATATAGGAAGCCGTTTCTCGCGTTGCTAGGTGATCGCTTCTCTTATTCCTATTTTCCTTTTAATAGACTGTCCGAAAACCGAGCTCAAGTTACTTCACGGGCAAGTCTAGGCAAGCCTATTGTAGTAGAGTGACGCTCATTAGTAAACCTATCCACTTCATTATATATGGAGGAAGACACTTAATTAGTATGCAGGAAACCCAAATTAGTATGCAGGAAGACACTGACTAGGCACTTAATTAGTATGGAGGAAGGCACTTTTTCCCAGGTTATAACAATAGGTGACGTCATTGACTAAACCATATGCCTATTAATTAAGGGAATCCACTTTCTGCGAGGGATCAAAAGGGAATCCACCAACGGGGTTAAGTTTGCTGAAGCCCTACTACTGCAGTTTTTTTTCAAAGACCAACGAAAGACGATAGAAGCGAGTTTGAGCCAGACACAATAATGTCCAGTTTTCAAAAGACTCTGGCGTCACATTAACGAGTAAATACTTACAGTGCTCTTAGTTTCCACCGAATAAACTTTGAAATATGTATGTAAACCCTGAGGACTGGGATGTTGACTTTGCCTTTCCAAATTTTAGCCTAGCTTTGTTTTATTGAGAACGAAGCTGTTGTAGAAACTGAATCGTAACCTTACCGAGGAAGAGAATTCTAGTCAGTGTTTGAAAATTTTAACGCCGATCACAATTGAAGACGAAAATGAACTGGCAGAAAGGGAGGTTTTCCCAAAAACAATTAACGAGCGAATCCTTCGACAATGACAACAAACTTACCTTGAAAAGCTTCTTTGCGTTTTGCAATGTTTTTCACAAGGACAAACGGTGGAAAGATGGAAACGACTTCTAGACAGACACAGTGTCCATTTTCCAAAATACTCCAGCGTTACATTAAAGAGCTAAAGCTTACAGCGCTCTTAGTTTTGACCGGATAAACTTTAGCGAATTTGTTTTTACTTTCTCGGAAAACCTTTGTTATGTGCTACTGTTTTCGTGCGCCAATAAAAACTTTCTTTTCTGACACCTGTCAAATGACTGTCAAATAGTGCGTCCTGCATTTGTTTCCGGTCCCCCAAAAAGGAAGAAGCCATATAATAAACGTCTTATTAGCCCCGTTTTTTCGTTCCGTACTGTAAATTACGGATCCTCGTTTTTTCCCATCGATTTATGGCCCGCGCGCTTCGCGCTTGGGCCATAAATCGATGGAAAAAAACGAGGATCCGTAATTTACAGTACGGACCGAAAACTCGGCTAATAAGAGGTATATATGATACGAAAGCCGAATTCAATAATTGTTTTATTATTCATTCAAAATAATTCCTAGTTTAAAAACATAGCTAAAACATGCTTAGGCTCCATCGATGTTAAGTTCATCTTCGATAGTGTACATTTATCTTTGTCCAGCTCCGCAAATATTCTCCAAATAGCAGATGTCGCCCTCCGAGTTGTCTTCTTGCTGTTTTTGCTATGTTTTTAGCTATTATTTCACCTAGTTCCAGCTGTAGTTCTTACTCTTGAAACGAGTGAGGTGTCGGCCATTTTTTTTTTCACAACGAAAACAACTCAACCTCGTCCCCAGGTCTTCTCGGTTAACGGTGCATTAACCCGTAGCGGGCTGCATTTTTGACGTCATTTCTTCGTTTAACACAAAATTCTTCCAAATTTGGTCATCAGTAACTGGTTATGGTGAACTATGCGTGTTGCTTTTAGCCAATCAGAATCGGGGAAATATTTTGAATGAATAATAATTACGTTTAAATGTAAAGACATTTTCAGCCAAAAGGAAGTTCAAGGTGAACCTCAGCAAACATGAACATTGTTTGAATGCGGGATACGAGAATACCTCCCCAGTTCGATTACATGACAAACATGACGAAAACATAACGCTAAAAGAGGTCGAGGGGGGAAAGAGAGACTATTAGCTCGCGTTTTGAGTTTTGTTCGTTCTAGTGATGACTCAACCAGGCGAAATCGATGGCGTAATGAAGCAAATGACTCAAAGCTTTAATCCAGTGATTCAAGAGACGATGCGCAATCCAACTGTTCTGAAATGGTTGGTTGAAATTCATACTATATTTTTCTCGCGCAATGTGAATTTCGAAAAAATTATTATCTCGCTCCTCGGATGGCTCTCTTCGCGAGGAATCATTGACGTAAAGGTAACCGACAATGATAAAGCCAACCATTTCAGAACAGTTGGATTGCGCATCGTCTCTTGAATCACTGGATTAAAGCTTTGAGTCATTTGCTTCATTACGCCATCGATTTCGCCTGCTTGAGTCACGACTAGAACGAACAAAACTCAAAACGCCCATGGACTAGGCAACGGTCCACGTACATTCACGTGGACCGTTGCCTAGTCCATGGGCGTTTTCCCAGTCCCTCTCAGTCAATTCACTTCGCTTGGACCACACGGCCCGAAACGCTTTGGCCGCGTGGAATAATGAGGCCTAGGGACTAGGGAACTTGGACCGCACAGCGCGGCAGAAACACGACTCACATTCATATGCAACTCGCGACGCCACAATCGATGACGTCACTGTGACTGCCAAGCAGATATATGATATATTTGGTTGGCAGTCGCAGTGACGTCATCGATTGTGGCGTCGAGTTGCATCAAGGTTTCTAGGCAACGCGACTTCCACTGGCTACAAGGCCAACATGTTCGTTCATCCTTTTTGAAAAATGTTTACTGTTGGAGAATCACGACCGATTCTCGTCATGCAAATAATGCATAACGTCGTAAAGAGACTTCGCGACGGTCTCGCGTCAAGACACTTATCGGCTTTGTCGGCCATACATGTATATTCTTCAAATGTGATGAATTGAGTTCAAGTACGGCTTTTATCTTCAATACCCTGTTTATTTTCCTCGAATATCTCTTTGAATTCTTGATAAGTACAGCTCCACCAGCTTCTGACTGCGTCTACCAACAGAATTTTACGGCAAAAAAGCTTTAAATATTATTATTTCCCTCCCCGTTTTATGGTTATTTTGTTTTGTCTTTTTTTTAACCATATTGTTTTTACCTATTGGCTGGTTTCAATTGGCTGGTTTCATTTCTAGTAGTAACAATAATCAGATTAACAAATAGAAATGACGTCATCGTACAAATAGGCTATTTTACTGTCTTCTGAAAGGAAAATATACATGGTAACAAATATGTTAATTAAAATATAAAAAAAAACATGAAGTATATTTAATCATTTGAAATTCTTATTTCATGTTTATGTTTTGTTTTGTTTTGTTAGAAACCAGTGTTGGCAAAACCCCCAACGCGTTTATCTTTTCTCTCAACAATTTTGAAGGGCTGGCACCGTTTGTGAGCAGGGTAAAAACAGAGAAGATAGGATATGCCGTCTTCGGGGGTTCAACTACTGGTCCAATATTTGGTCAGGACCTTTCCATTTATCTTACCCCCCCGTCTCGCAGGCAGTCAAACGTAGATTTGGGCCAATACTACTCTGTTCCAGCTTTAGTGAAGAACCAGGAGACAATCCTGCTCGGGTATCGCGGGACCTTCTCACCTGATGAGATGGAGGTATTTTATCTTGACCCATCCCGCTAAATGCAAGATAACACGAACTGAGTTCAACTAAAAGCGAGAAGATGCATTTAATTTAACCCAAACTTCCAATCAATTCCTTTTTAGTTTCTCTTTCTTTCTTTTCTCTTTTTTTTTTTATAAATAGAACACAATTATTTCTGGAATTAGGAAATTTAAGGTTGTCAAAAGAAATCTTCATAGAAAAAAGCTCAACGTCAGCGTTCAAATTCTGAAAATTTAATTGTCTAAAGCTGCAGTAAGAATTAGTTCATTAAATGCTAGCCTATAGCTTATTTTTTGGACATGGATCTCAGAATAGGCTGTTTAGGATACAGGCTCCGGATTTAGTAATGCACGTTTCCAGACACTTTCCATGCTCAGACAACTGTCGCTGATCAACTTCATCAAGGCTTAAAAGGAGCATGCACTGCTCATTACAACACTGTAATCGCTCGAGTAACTAAACAAATGTTCACAAACGTGAAAACAAACAAAATAAACGGTCTGTTCTATAATTCTGTTCTATAAATCATAAGTAAAAAACAACTATACTATGGAAACCCTGTGTGCCAGAGAGTGCATGCTTTCTTAAAGTCGCCATGGCCAATGTTGTTGCAAATCTCCCTGCGACGCATCCTACTAGCATGTTTTACCTTTTAAAAGAAGTTTCCGTCTGAAGAAAGAATTTTTTCTAGTGAGAACTCTACACTTGTTTACTTGTACCTAAAGTCAAGTGTTCAATTATTTACGACACAGTTTTGTTTGATCTACGTCACAGCTCCTTTGTTTCTGGGAGGCTTCCGAAAGAGGACTAACTCATGATGTGCCAGAATAGCGGTAAATTTGAACATTCACATTCAAAAAATCACATTGTGCTCGTATGGCAAAACGTGATTTTTTCGGGGAGGCTATCGTAGTAATGCGTACTTTTAATTAAAAAATAAAAATGTTCTCGTAGTAATAAGTACTTTTAATTTAAAAAAAAAATGTTTAGTTTATGGGCACTTAAGAAGTGATGCACTACATTAAAAAGATAAGCCTACAAAGTGCAATAGTCAAGCCTCTTCAACAAGGGGCATAGGATGGTTTATGGGGCTTCGTCGCGCGTTCCTGTTCCTCGTTTTGAGGGTAGGTTTTGTATTGCCTTCTTGTCAACTCTCATTCTACATCTGTATTTGCAGACGTAACGCAAAGGGTTGAAATCTCAGGATAGAATTTTCCCTGCTAGCGTTTGTCATTGACTTAGGTGTAGTTACTGGATTTTTAATATATAGTTTAGCTCATATTTCAATGCAATTTATTAATTCCTATACGTAAGCAACATTAATTGCGATATATTCAGTCCATTTATATTATCTCAACATTTTGTACTTTTATGATAATTATTCAATACAACTTGCCACAGTATTTATTCCATGCCATCAGATATTCATTTGATGTCATTTTGCATTTTCATCACTTAATGCGTTTCGATGCAGTTTTATTCATATTGAAATGCACTGAGAAAACAGGTTAGTTTTCAGGATTGCAAGACAGAAAATACACCAAAGTTTCTAAGCATTGAATTCTACTTAAGATTAATTTGAGTTACTTAGAACTTTTTAATTAGATAACATATCAGGGATATTAAAGGCTTTGGTTTGAAATGTATTTGGTGTGAAATATACTAACTTTTCATTTGAATTCAAACGTAAACAATTGTTTTATTTCTCACGCAGGCTATTAGCTAAACACCAAACTTTACGTTCCTTGTGTCGGAATTTCAGTAGCAGGTCTAGATCACTCAAAATTCGGCCTTTAGAGATTTCAGACTTTTTTGTTAATTGTCGTCATGGTGATATCGGTTTTACTTGAAACTGCATTTTGACAAACTCCATTTCATAGTCAATCACTGGTGAAGGACAAGGATATTAAATAACTGTTAATGCGATTGAAAAATATCGGTATGGTCTCCCGAAAACTGCATCGAATTCACTTAATTAACTTAAATTGTTTAGAAATATTATAATTCTTGATATTATTCTATTTGCATAAATGACGTATTCCGCCATCGATTGCAATTGTTGAAATGTCTGCCCCTAAAAATGTTACTAGATTTCATTATCAGGATACAATTTACCTGCCTCGGCCGCAGTCACTCGCCATAGTTCTCGTGGTATTTAAGCTGAATTATCAAGTAAAGCGAGACAAAGGAGGAAACGGAAAGAGAAGAAAAAAAAGGGGAATGTTTCACCTTCCCATCTTTCATTAAGAACCTTGAAAAAGCGTACACACGACGCAGTGCAGATAATACGGTGCATGCGATGTTATTCATCTTATTTTCATCCAACGCTTTTTGAAGAAGTTATAGTTTATGACTTCTATTGATTTTTGGTAAGGGCGATTATGCAGTGAATATAATGTAAAATCGTACTATTATTACACTATGGTAACTATACTGTAGTTTATTTAAAATTCTATTAAAGTGTAGCATCTTTACTATTGATTACGAGTACTATTAAGTCACATTTGTGCGCACACTATTAGAGGAAAAATGTAAAATAAAATTGTCAAGCGTAAATAAAGAGAGAGAGAAAACCCTTCTTTTTGGTCATTTCATATTCCTTTGCGAATTTAAAAAAAAAATAGAAATTCTTTGGGTCGCTTGGGCTGTGAGCTTTGCATTTGTTAATTATTCAAAGTTAAAACCATCCTTGCCAGATACAGTTTTTCTTCTTAAAATGCTCATTCTCTCGAAAGCTTCAGGAGGACTAGGTGTCGTAGTATAAAACGCATGAAACAAAGCAAGGAGCCTTCGTTGTTAGTGAAAACAGTTCGTTGCAGTGTCTCTGAAAATAAATGCCGCCATTCTTTTTGGCCGCGCTTTAACGTAAGTAGCATTTGAACACTTTGCATTGATCGATGTATCTGAGACGAATAGACTCCAATTGTGGAGCTTGGCCATATGCTTGAATACCACTTAGCAAAGGCTCAATGGATGGAAGCCATTCAAGCGTCCATTCAGGCCCCCTCCACACGTATCCAGATATTTTTGAATCCGCAACTATTTCTTTCCGGTTCAAAAATTTTCACGTCCACACGTATCCATTTTCAAATCGAATTTGCCCGTACACACGTACCCGGATTCACTCTAGTGCCCAGGACTCCTCTGGGAATACTGGCAACAGAGCATGCGTCGTAACGACGGGTAAGAGTAGAGTTAAGAGCACGAGATAAAACTTTGGAACGAGGTTGCCATCTTGAATACAGTATTCACGGTAAAGAACTGGGTTGAATCTTGTTACGTCACCTGAAAAATATCCGGATTTAGCATTCACACGGTTCCATACTCATAGCGGGGCTCCCGCGCGCGCGAAGCGCGCGTGGGACAGAGCCCCATACTCATGGAATATGGTCAACCTCTTTTCGCTTGGTTGTCACGAGACTGAGCGAGCGTACGTACGTACGCGTCTACAGATTGTATGGGTAGGGTAGGGGAGACTATCAAAAGGAAGGGAGGGGTGTCTCAGGCGTCTCTTGGCAAGTCCTCATCTTTTATATATGACACTCACAATATGGTCAATTGACAACTGTCAAAACAGGATAGCCACTGACCATATCCCATGACCATATCGCGGGCTCATGTGTCAAGTCATTGAGGCGACGTGATTTATTTGGAAGCTGTCCGCTGACCAATTAATTGTTTTACTAGATCGCGATCAATGTTAACGTTCAATCTCATACTTTTTAGCTAGTTTGGGATCGGAGCACAGGAAAACTGATACACATATTGGACATCAATGTTGTGATCAATTGACAGCTGTCAAAACAAGGTACCCGCTGACCAGTATCACTTGAGCGAATCGCGGGCTCAGATGTCGACCCATCGAGGTCAAGTATTTTTTTGAAGTTATCGGCTGACAAGGTACTGGTTTTCAAATGATCGCAGGCTCAAGTTTAAATTTTTTTTAAAAAATATTCATATGAAATATGTTGTGTTTATGTGCCACACAATTAAAATTTTGATTTCAAACTGACCTCGGACGCGAAAATTCAGTTAGCTGCTACAGGCAGGGAAGACAGTTGCATTTGACTTTTCTCATCATGTTCACGCGTTGGTCACGTTCTACGTCCAATTTTTATGCTCTGATTGGTCAAAATTTGACATGTGAGTTCATGCGGAAAATTAACGCAGCATCTTGAATCTTGTTTACTTTGACAGCTGAAGCTGACAGAGTTTTGTGTCAACTTGTGATGTTTTTAACTGTCTTTTTTCACTGGATATACAAAATGAAATTTGGCTGCTATCGGATGTCTTCTGTTATTCATGGCTAGTTTGTTTATTGGGTTTTTGGTTGAGAAATACGGCTCTTGTCAAAGTTAGAAATCCGATTTCGGATAGCATCGTTTTCGTTTCACCTTGTTTAATTATATAATGCGTAAGAGGGTTTCAAAGTCTGAAGCGATACTGGCCTTACTTGATACCTTTGAGGAGCCGCATCTCGAGTGGTAAGCCTGAGTAATTATTGTATTTGATGTTTGTTTTTTATTTCTAATTTAATGAAGTCGAGCGTAGTTTGTGCGGCTATTTTGTCTACGCACGTTTGTAAGATTTGAGACAATAATCCGACCGAGTATAAGGTTTATATAAGCTTACAGATCTTAAAAAAGCCTTTAGACATTTTCTCACCGCAAATAGAAAGAACACGTTCCAAAGAATTTTTAGTTATAATTCTGGCTGTAAAAGAAGCTTTGGGCGATTTTCTTGCCTCGAGTTCGTCTTTCAAAAAAGCAAACACCGGGAAGCCGGCTTAAAACAAAAACTTCAGCTTTAAGCTCGAAGACTCAGAATTTTTAGAGACACTTAAATACTTGTCTTCCTGAATGAAAATTGTCGTCTCTGTATATGTTTCACCGAATTTTATTTCTTTTATTGATTATTAGTAGTCTCTCTTGTAATTTTAATCGCTGTGCCGATTGTTTTCAGTCGTTCAGTGAACAACGCTTCCCAGAGTACTCAAAAATGCCGCGCGTTAAACATTTTAAAATAAAAAATAAACATGATAAATTCTTTATTATATTGGAGCTTAACTGTGTTAATGTTCATTCAAACACTCGCCA